CCCCCCCGCTGTCGGTGTGCGTGCGCAGCGGCAGCCGGCTCGTCTTGTGTTCCCCAACCCCAGTTTCGCTTGTGCTTTTTGTCCTGCTCGTGACGGAGGTTGGGGGACGCGGGCTGGGCGGCGGCCTGCATGTGCATGATGGTGCATTGCACGATGCGGCCTGCGCCTGTGCGGATATGCAGTATGGACCTGGTAAATGCGCATATGTGTGGTTGTATCTCCCTCCCTCTGTGCATCCTTTCCCGGATGGTCCAATCAAGAGAGTTTCGTCTGCACGTAAACTCTTCTCATTCGTTGCAGCTGCTGCGTTTGCTCGCGCTGGACACGGGCTTGAGGGCTTTGGGGGCGCGCACTCGCTCACTCACCGCCATGTTTTGGACGTCCGTGATGTGCGGGACAGAGGAGAGCAAAAAGAAAGGGGAAAGTGTCCGATGGGCCAAACAGGACGGCACGGGCAGCGCTCGAGCGGGCCGTTTGCTGCGTGGTATCCGGGGGGCTTCAACTTCCCGACTCTGAGACAAGGACCCTTCGGAGGCTGGCCGCGTCGAAGCGTCGATCGAAGGAAATAGCCGCTGTCGGCAGAGACAAACAAACAAAACACACACCTAGCCGCGCATGCAAGGGAGCTCCCCAGGGGAACGACTGAATCACGCGCAGATGGAAAAAGGAACGCCTCCTCAGGCGGGATGGCGGGGAGGCGGATCCAGCCTCGTGGTGACCTCGGGGGCCGGGCTTAGGGCGGACGAGAGAGACAGCTAACGGCCCTTTCTGCTGCCGGTCTGCTTTCTTTGCCGTGCTCTTTGCCAGCCCTGTTGCCGCGCGACGGATCTGCGCGCTGGTGTTTGTGTTTGCTTCTGGCCCGGCCCACGCCAAAGACACCATGTGTGGCCCCGTAACATTGCAACACTGACTGAAGACTACTGTACTGTAAATGGCAGCACTTGGCCCGTATATTTGCTTTCTCCTTCACCGCCTCGTTCTGTCACAGCATCTGAAGCATGCACGATGGATCGTCCTTGCATGGAGAATGCCCCCAAGTGCCGGCCGTCGACAAATGACCTACTGCGGGCCCAGATGCTCTGCTAGCACGGACTTCAATGTTGGTTTGCTTCGCTGCGAGTATCTCGACGGTATGGAAGCAGCACTTGGCCATTGTCGTATTACCTCGTGGGCAAAGCAAGGCCGGGCTCATCTGCCGCCCCTCCGGCGTGGAACAGCAAACCTCTGCTGCTCATGTGGCTCTGAGTGTGACTCGCGACGCTGCAGGGCTATGCGCACTTTACACCACCTCGACTCTATTGCACACACATGGCTGTTCTGTTTCTCGTACCCAAGCGCGTTGCCACCATCACCACGAGACGGGTTGCGCCCCCCGTGCAATCCTCCAGCCTCGTCGCGTCCTGCGCTGTCGGCGCGCCACGTAGCTGGCGCCCCTGCCCCCTCCCACCCCGCGAAGGGTGCCATTCGCACTCACCAGGTGTCACCAGGGTTGCACTCATGCAGCGCAGCATAGTGTGGCGTTTTCCATTCGCCGCAGTCGCGGGCAAGGGACTTTTCGACCTGCGCAGTCCCAACGATCCATGTCTCGGCCGCTCCAGCCTCGTCCGTGACAGGTGACCTCGATCGTGGAACTGTCCGCTGGCGTGACAGGTTCGGGGCGGCGGTGGCTGGTGGGTGGCGATGATCACGGACGGATGTGACCCCCCTTCGCGGACACGGCTCGGGAGATGCGAGTTGGCTTCTCGGCATTGGGGGCCGGGCCTGGGAGAAGAGACGACGACGTCGGCCCGTTGAGTCGACGATCCTTCAATGGGGGCCGACAGAATAGGGCAAGGCCTGCGTTCAGCCGCTGTTACATCCGCTCAAAGGCAAGTCGGCCGACTGGAGCTTGACCGACCGTGACCCAAGATATCAGATGCCGGCATCAAGGTGCTGACGCGACTCGCGCCGACAATCGTAGTTGCGCACCGCCGTGACGGCCACTCGCCGGACCGAGCCCGGCCGAAAAGTGGGTTTCGCCGGGGGGCGTCCGGCCGCCGACGGCGGGCTCCACTCGGCGCCCGCAGACCAGGACGCCGACGCGGCTATTGCGGCCGACATGTCGCGCCCGCCTGGACCCGCCGGGATAAGGTTTGGAGGCGGCAAACATGAGTCCGCGGGCCCTGGCGATTGTGCGCGCTGGCACCGGATAGGCTCGCGTTGATGCACGGAATGTTCTTTCGATGCTGGAGATAACGACCGAGCCATGGTTGGGTTTTCTTGCTCTGGTCGACGCGTCTAGAATCCAACCACTTGCATGACCGGTCTCAAGACATGGTCGCATCGGACGCGAGCGTTCATCGTCGACTACAGGCCGATCCAACTTAATTCTCCGTAAAAACAGTCAGATGGTAGCGACCTGATGCAGGACGTTGCTAATCCCGAATGCAACCGTTGCCTTGACATGGCATCATGCGACTCGCGGCAAATGCCAGCTTCAATTCCCGAGCACCAGGTCTCGGTGCCAAACACTATCCCCACCTGAGCTCTGCCAGCTAGTAGACGCATCGCGGCAGTGATGGAACCGAGCCGCACAGACATTGGCGTTGCAGCCGAGTGACAGGCGCGACAAACAGCGTTGCGACGGCGACCCAGACGGCAACGGCGATAACGGTAACTTTTTCTGTTGGCAAAGCACAGACCACCTCGCTCGGAAGGCGCCGAAGTCTCCATGTCTACTACCCCAGCCTTTCTCGTGTTGAGGATGGAGACGGGACAGCATGTCACTGCCCTCGATCCCCACGGGTGGCATCCTTGGCGGCGACGGGGGCAGGCAAGATGTCATCGCCGCGGCGGGATTTGGACCCACCGGAAATCATTCGACTGTCATGAGATAAATCCGTGGGAGCTAGGTCACGGGCTGCGCATCTGCCAAGAAGACAAGACGCCATTGTCGCTTTGTCAAGATAGACTCTGCGCGTTGTGGGATCTGTGGACCTTGTCATGACTTGGAATGTGGGTGCCTTTCCCTATGCTCCAGTGCAAATGTCAACAGTCAACACCATGGGGGAATGGATATCGCGGTCGGAAGGATGAGCTAACGTAGTCGCTGTTGGCGCGCGAGCTCAACAGTCGAACCACGGCGCACAGACAGGCGCGCTTCCGACGGCCTTGGCATTCGGCCTTTTAATGCTCATACCAGCGCATATGGTCTGTTTCTGACGCAACAGATGAAGCCTCGCTAGCGATGTAAACGATTGTTGACGGAGCTTCGGAAGGGACGTCTGGAGGCGCTTGTTTCTGCGTTGGTGCCTGGGGCTTCGACGAGATAGTTGCAGGCAGCACCAAGACGAGCGCCAATGGGTTCGCAACGGATAGACACGTGCTTCGCGAGCAAATTGCCTCAGTTGTTGGTCTCGCACGATAACAACATGTCTGAGTAGATGTTTGGCGCACGCACTGCCACGCGTGCTTCACCTCTGGTTGCAGAACTATCCGTGCACACATACTGCGGCTTACATGGCCGTTTCAGCAACGAAGTACGATGTGGGTACACGCCGCGCCCACGGTTTCTATACCTCCAGAGACTCTTGAGTTTTCGCGGGCCTTGGGCATCTGCTGCTTGATGTATGAGCAACCGATATACCACTCAATGTCTCACACACCTCATGAACATGAACACATGGAAATGCAGACAAAAGAACCAATAACGAGATCTCCGGGGAACAACATGGGGTTTCATTGAACTTCTTCACGCACAGTTGCTTATGCTCTCTTCCTGCGCGCGCTTTGACTATTAATATACAACACAATGGTTACGTACGACGCGTATTCACAAAGACCACCATGGCAACAGCACTGGAATAACCATTACCAATTGACGTCTTCAGCGCAGTCATGTGCAGTAGCTGAAACAGTTGCCATGAAATCGCAATGAACCAGAACGACAGCAATTGTGTCTGAACATGGTGCTGCTCCACGTAAACCGTCTCGTTCCTCTCAACGTCTTAAGTAGAGATTTGAGAGAATCGTCTCGAGGCCCAACATGTACTCGCCAGTTGTCTTCCCGTGACAGAGCTAAGAATTGGGATTCATCGGTTTCGGAGCGGCAACGTTGAAGCCATGGCCGTCATCCCCGATGAACTACACCCGCACGACATCGAGCCGCGCGGCCCGCTCACGTCCACCTTCAGAGCCGAGCGCGCCGCGGGCGTCATGAGCCTGGAAGAGCCATTCGTCAAAGACCAAATGGTGATTGGCTACCTCTACGCACCCGGCCAGAGCAGCGAGTGGATAGAGTGCAGAACCGCGCAGATCGCCGCGGCGCTCTGCCTCGCGTTCTTCGACACCAGCACCATCACGACCACATTGGTCGACGGACCTGAGATAAAGCGCCGGATCATCATTCGGTTTGTCGACGCCAGCAAGACTTGGGAGATCTTTTCCCATCTGGTATGGCAGGGGTTCATTGTATGGTATTCTCCGTGGAGCGTCATCAACTGCTTGCGACTCAGGCCTCTGTCGTATAAGGTGCTGAGGCCCACGAGGATGCCCCTTGAGTCAGAGTGTTTGTTCACGCCTTATTGAGGGTTGCCTATAGACGCTTCGTGGGTTTATAGATGCTAGCCAGGATACCGGACAGGCGCAAATGGATAGATACTGGTGCGGGATCAATACCAATCTGGAAGCATACTTACGCCTAGATCACGTTACATATACTGGGTTGTTCCATTCCGTTCCAAGTGACCAGGGATATAGGCGTTTCGTAAAGCATCTTTCCAATGTAACAGGACACAAGGAATAGGCAGGGTTAAGCAGCGTCGTATAAGTCTCATTAGATGCTCGAATACTGGACATGAGTGAAGGGCCTCAGCAGTGTCGGAGGGCATATCGAATCGTGTCGCCGAACTTGTGCGCGGAACTTCTGAGAGGCGACCAGATGCATCCTCGAAAACCACGGTCGTGAGTGGCCCGGACACAACTGCTTGTTGACTATCGTAGCCCTACCCCTGACTGACCTGATCTCAAGACTTAAGCCAAGCTGCGTGGCAACGCTTTGTTGGCTCTACCATCATGCCGAGTATCAGCAGCTACTCAAATCAGAGCTGAACAGAACTCACATAAACTCTACAGCCTGCTTACTGGCTGGCTGGGCGACAAGCACACTGCCCACAACGCGGCGAGATCTGGTCAGTGTCGCCAGTAGATGAATAGCGGTAGACGCGGTATCTCGATCCCCAACAGTTGGAGAATGGGGGTAGGCAGCGCTCATCGACCGGCAGTGGGGAGTTGCAGTAGACTTCGTGAATGCTAGGAACTGTAATGCAGTCGACTGGAGCTATGCACCCTGCAAGGAGTGTGAGGAGGTGAGCTAGACTGAGATGCATCTTGAAGAGAGCACATGCATGCACGATGTTGAGACTTCAGTCCTTTTCGACGCATGCTACTCTGTTATGTCGAGAAGCAAGGTGTATTCTATGCCTAATGGAAACTTTAACTCTTACCGTACTTGGTCTCTTATCCCAAAGGACCTATTGAAGAAGGAAGACTGGCGCTATCAGCCCGCTACGAAACCATTTGTCAAAGGATGAGCCTTTTACGTCAAAGGAGCAGCGTGAAGGGCACAGTGCATAGATACAGGGGTACGATCGCGTCGGGTCGGCTTCAGCCGGTGACGTATCGTGAATAGCCATTCCCTTGACCTGGGCTCATGATTGCCATGCTTCGGCTGGGCCAAGCCCTGTAAACACCGTGCATCAACACTGGAAGCTGGAATCGGCGGAAATGCGCTGCCTATCGCAAAGCTCGTGGACCGGGCATCCAGTGGTACTGGCCGCTCTGTAAGTGTACGTTGATATGACAACAAAGATGGAGCCGTGCGATGCTCATATCTTAACCTGGGGCGTAGAGCATGCCGTCGCAAGCGTTGGCGTCCCGGGTCAGGAACATGCAGGTAAATGACCAAAGGGCTCCAGGTATCAAGCTGATTTGATGGCTCCCGCCCCTGTTCCAACACCAAGATTGAGCAATGGCCCTTTCGGAAAAGGGCTGAAAGAACTATGATGTGCCGGAACTTGAAAGACGGCATTCGTCTCACTACGGCAATCATTCTCGTCCACGATCTGTGAGTGGTAACTGGCAGAAGCGGAGGGACCGTGATTGGCGGTTCGACCCTTCGCATTCATAACAGAGTAGTCATCACTCTTCGTTTCTCGTGGCTTCGGAACTACAACACAGACATTAAGACCACCGCGAGGGCTGGACACAGCGCCGCAACGAACCTCCCAGCCGAGCACAGCCGATCGCCCGCCCCTCCCGTCTGCGAAGGTGACGGAGCAGCCGTCGCCGACTTCGCCCTCTCAATATCGCTCGTCGGCCGACCGCCACCCGGTCCAATCCCATTCTCCCCGTCACCCGTCCCCGCAGCGCCAGTCGTCTCCCCACTCGAGGCCTCAGTGGAAGACGCCGTCGTCGAAGTCGGAGTCGGCGTGGGCGTAGTCTTGGCCGTGCACCGCTTGTCCAGCCCACACGTCTCATCACTATCGCAGCACTCATCGCCGCAGCACGACCCGGAGAGCGAGCACGCGCCGCCCGCGCAGCACGACTCCTTGTCCGGGTCGTAGCACGACTTGCTCGCGGCGCAGCACTTCTCGCCCTTGGTGCACGTCCACGCGTCGGAGCCGCTCGTGCAGCACACGGACTTTTCGTCGTCGTAGCACTTGTCGGGGCCGCACGACGTGGTGCCCGTCCGGCAGCACCCGCCGTCGGGCATGCACTCGAAGCCGGTCTTGCACGTCGTGCCGCGGGTCGTGCAGCATACGTCCGTCTTGGGGTCGTAGCAGCCGTCTGAGCCGCAGCCCTTTTTGCCCGTCGTGCAGCAGCCGCCTTCGGGGATGCATTCTTTGCCGAGCTGGCACGTTGTGCCGCGCGATTCGCAGCATGTGTTTTTGGATGGGTCGTAGCAGCCGTCGGCGCCGCAGCCGATGCTGGGTTTGTCGCAGCAGCCGTCTGGGGTGCAGTTCTGTGTCGTCTTGCAGCAGCCGCCTTGGGAGCATAGATCTGTGGGTTTCCTGGTCAGCCTTGCTTCTGCGGCTGTGTAAGATTCACAACTCTCCGGTGGGTATGACGCACATCGGCCGGGACTGCAGTCTCGCGGACCAAAGACGTTGAGGCCGTCAAAGTCGCGCCCAAAGATGATCTGTGTTCCGTTGCTGAGGCCCTCGGCAGATCGCCCGCCCGCAGGCCGCGACGGGCTCTTCGCATCGACGAGCTGCTCCGCAGCCACCCGCGGCTTGCTAGCCGTGACGGCGACCGCGGCGCTCAGTAGAATCACAACCGATCTGAGATGCATTGTCGCGCGTTCCACGTGGGATCGTGTCGATTGTTCGCGCCGCAACCGTCAATGCCGCAGGAGAATCACGACCGCTCAACAAAAGCGCTCAGACAACGGCCCGGAAACTCGGCAACCGCTCGCGCGGGAGGCAGCTACAAGGTCTGTATTTATCCCCAAGCCTGGTCAACTCCAGAGCCCCGTGATTCGGAGCAAGCCCTGTAACGTGTCGCCGTGCAAGCCCGATTAGGCAAGGCAAAATGGGGGGGCCGCACAATGAGCCAGGACGTCAACCATGGGGTCGTCCAATGAAATCCACATTTTAAAGCTATAAATATGCATATTTGAAGCCAGCGTGGAGTGCTTCTTTAGCTCGGCCGAGACGATAGTCCTTGGCCGGCCGTCATCAACGGTTTGCCAAGCGGAGCGACTGTTTGGGCTAACTTTAATGTTGCTAAGCGTGTGGCCTGCGGTGTTCCTGGGATCACTCGCGGGGGATGGCAGGCCCTTGCTGCTGTGCGATGAAGCGGTCGATCAAGCTTCAAATTGTGACAATCCGCTTTCTGGGGTTTACAACATATATGAGACAGCTTTTGGCCTATGTCTTGAGGCGAAGACGGCGCGAAACACAAAGTTGCGACAGGGCCGCTTTTCGGGCGGGTTGCTCCGAGAAACGTAGGCTTGAAAAGACGGCGTGCTTGCCAAGACAGCCACAGGGCCACGATTTAAAATGAGGCTCACGGGTCACGAGGATTGATAAGAGAAAACCCGTCACCGTATCGGGTGGCCGGGCGATTCTATTTTACTTCCATAGATCCCTGTCGGTCTACAAGCGAGCCGTCTGGTCCAGGTGCGCCGTGCACTCAATCTCAACGTCGGTTCCCAGCGGCAGCTCATGGACAGCCACACACGTCCTCGCCTACATACAGCTTCATTAGTCACAACCACTCAATCGCAACAAGCGATGGAAGGTGGGCTCACCGGCTTGGGGTCCCAGGTAAAGAACTCGTCGTACGCCTCGTTGACAAGAGCAAAGTCCTTCATGCTCGTGATGTAGATGTTGAGCTTGACAATGTTCTCGAGGCGGCTGCCCGCGGCTTCCAGCACGGCCGAGATGTTGCGAAGCGCTTGTCTCTGTAAACATGCAGTCAGCAATTGCCTGTCTGCCGAGCTCACAACAGTCGCTCAGGACAGAAGCGAAAGATGTCGAGGCACGTGCCCGGAGCCAGTTGCAGGGGGGCATGCAGGGACGCGCCATAGAGACTATCGCATGGGTAAGGCACGTACCGCTCGATCCTTTACGGTGCCCTCCACAAGTTCAAAAGCCTTGCCGGGGACTGCGCCAATGTTGCCGGAGCAGTACACCATGCCATTGTACTTGACGGCCTGAGAGAACTGCGGCAGCGGGAGGGGTGCACCGTCGGTGCGGACCGCTTCGTACTTGGGAGCCATGGCGTCACAGATGATATCCTTTGCAAGAATGGAGGCGCGTGATGCGGTGAATGCTGAGTCGATGCCGGGAAGTAATTGGCTAGGAGCGATTGACCGAGATGGTTTTATATGTCGGCGACGAGTCGCAAGCAGATATAGATATTGTCAGCTTGTGAGGGGTAAAGGCTCGTGGAGGGGAGGGGCTGTCGATGGCAAGCGTTGGTGTAAGGCTGGGCCACGGCAAAAGTCATCAAAAACCGCTGACAAACTCCCGACATCGCCGCGCCCTTCATGACTTGGCTGCGCCGCTTCCAGCCGCTTGCCTCGAAGATCGGTCTCCACAAACCGTTGCTAGGTGTCACGACAATCTCGGAATGATGGCTTTTCATGATTGTGTATGGTAGGCTCTCAATTACGGTCTCTGAGGCCGAGCGAGTACTCGGCCTGTGTTCTATACTAGGAGCGCCGCGGAAGCTCCACGCGGTGCAAGTCCATCTGCTCCCCAACGTTACAACAGACAAGAGTTACAAGACTTGGCCAAGCTGGACTCAATGCGGGGGAACCCGGTGGGTCCGTTGCCGCTGAGGTCAACTGTCCAAGGTGTCGGCGTCAACCGCGGCGCGGGCCTGAGGCTTGTCTGGCCCATGACTGGGGGATCTGGTGGGCGGTCCCCAGAGCCGAGGACTCGTCGGCTTGATGGAGTGAGCGCATCCGAGTCGCAGTGAGACTTTCTACCAGCGGGCAACAGGTCCAATTGATCCACAAGATAGGCTCAAGGCCTACAGCGAAGGAGCTCTTGATATATGTCCGTCTATGGTCATTCAACACAACTCACTCACGGCCACGAGCTTGAGTGACACGTCTATGCCATGACTTCATCAATGCTTTGCAACGGCTTCTGCAGCACAGTTAGGGCAACAGACAACACAAAGAGGATGCGGCCAGAGCTCACCGTAGACCCTCTTTTTCGCCGCGACTCCGGGGCAGGCGCATCTAACCCAGTAAGATGCGGGTATTCGGCCAACGAGGGGGGAAAGTTGCCACTGGGATACGGCCGAGGGGTGAATGTGCCCTCTTGAATCTCGTGATACCTGATGGCATGGTACTCGTGCTTCCTGTAGCTCGCTATGTCACTCTTTTTCGGGTACTTGGTCGCCATGTCGTAGTGCAGCTCACGAAATCGCGGCTGCAACTGTTCCGCAAACTCGGGGCTGCGGACGAGGTCTCCATTCGGGCCTCGGATGCTGTAGGCGTAGCTGATCAAGTTGGCGAGCGAATGGAACCATATATATTTTTCGCGACACTCCTCCTCGGGCATGGACAGCCAGTACTCCATGAGGGATTCGAGAAAGCTGCTAAGCCGGGGCACAGGCGCGACGGAGCCCTCTTCCGTGGTGCGCAGATCAAACTTCCAATCGGCAGCGCTCAGAAGCACGGTACCATCTGCCTCGTCAACGACAGCAACGGGCTCGAGGCGGACGCCTCCACTGGCCCTGCATACTCGCTCGTCGTCGGGATCCAGGCCCTCAAGACCAGCCTTTCGATAACCCGCAGCTTGGAGCACAGCAGACGCGACGCTGATGTCCGGCACGAGGATGTAGAGATCGAAGACTGCCGTGTCGCTCCCGTATAGGAAAAGGGTATCTTCAAACCATACAGCGCTTGGTATACCGTGCTGGGCGAGAATGCGACATGGATCAAAACGAGAGGGTTGCTGGACGACGACGGATGCGCTACGCTTAGACCACGAGCGCGTCGCAGAGGCTCGTCTCGTCGAGCGGTTCAACAAGTGCCGTAGGTACGCCAGTTTGAGTTGCCACCAGCGCCTCGAGGCACGCCACGAATTCGACAGCCATCTTCGAATCGACTTGCACCACGCTGCAGTCATGGCGTGTCGCGAGGCAGCGCCTCTGGCATGGCGAAAGCGTGCGGTGTTGACATGTCTTGGTTGAGTTGGGTGGCCGGCTTGATTCAGGGACTGTCCCTCGTCTGGGTGATGACATATGCCGGAAGAATGTCGGGCCGGCGACGCGTACATGATCGAAACTCCTGGTCATGCACGCGGCCTCCAGTATTCAGGCTGACTTCTACTTCAGCGGCTCTGTATAGACGGGTCGAACCTGCATATTTATGGCAAGCGCCGGAAGCTCAAGCACTGGAAACATCATGTTGGCCCGCGAAGCTGACCCAGGGGCTGTTCCACCAGTCGTCGGATTACAGCCGCTCATCGAACGGCTAGGCGCTGGCAACGCCGTCGTCAAGGGCCTGAAGCGCTAAGCGCCCGATGCGACCATTCGATGGGCCATCTGAGCATTGGCGCCGAATGTGCACATCATGCATGGGCAGAGCCGCAGAAGTTGAATATGCGGCCTCGATGGTCCGTATGTGAGGTACTCACCAGCGGGTGCCCAGCTGCCATAAAAGCGGTCCTCCGGACAACTGCAGCAGGAATTGTAGAATGCAGCATGTCTCTTTCCCTACTTGCCACGAATACATTCAGTCTCGTCACCTCATCCTGAATCTCCTGCATCTTTGCCATGGGGTGCAGCTCCTCCAAGCCAGACCCGGTCGCCCAATCCCAGCCGGCTCGCCCCGTGCCGGCCCAAAACTTGCAAGAAAGCCGACCTGGCAAGCCAGCGGTCTCGAATTATGGCAGCACGGCGAGCCCTCAGAATCACCAGCAAGATGATGCCCCGTCTGAGGCTGGAGCGACCTCGATGAGACCGGAGGTCAGGAAGCAGTTTATGCAAGCCATACATACCGCTCTCCACGATGTGCCATATGTGGTCATCGGCGGGAGTGCCTTGGCTGAGCACGGCAGCTTGCGGGAAACGGCCGATGTTGATGTCCTCCTCGGGGAGGGCATATCCAAAGGATCGGCCGAGAGCCTGCTAGTCAAGCGTAGTTCTGGTCGCCTGGTGCGACTAGGACGGGGAAGACTTGGGTAAATCCCCCCGCATGCTGAACACGAACGGCCAAGGCAGGATCTAACACTATGCAAGATTTGTCTGGCGCGATGGAACGGTGTTCCAGCTCGATCTCACCGAAGATAGGGATGTAGATCTGCCGTTCGACATCAACACCGACACCCAGGTCATCCGCGGCACTCGCGTTGCAACACTGGCGTTTCTACTCAATTCCAAAGCCCACGCGTGGCAGACCAGGGTGCCTTTCGAGAGCGACTACGAGCAGAAGCGCGGCAAGGACGCCAGAGACATTGCTTTCTGCCTCCGGCTGCTCAAAGGGCAAACAAACATTGATCCCAAGCGCCTCAACTGGGTCTACAACAATTATTTTTGGACGCCATTCAACACGGCGTACCCTTGGATAACGCCCCTGTTCCGAGACGCTGGGCTGTGGACGGAGGAGACGGCCTTTAGCTCGGCCTCGTCAGCCAACGGGTGGTCAAGCAGAAGCAACCTAAGCAGTGTCGGGAGCTTCCAGAGTCAACGAGATGGCTATCGCGGTGGCTACACAAGCGGTGTAAACAGTCGAGCGGGTTCGAGGACCGGTTCCATGGGGCGGTAATACTTACATGGACGGAGGCACCAGAGCAGACGGGCAGCGACTTACACGCTTCTGTTGCGGGCTACCCTATGGCTCCTGATCTTAAATGCGCCAGCCGCGCGAGCCGCCAGTTCCATGCGCGCCTAAAATGGGGGAATGTCACGAATCTATAAAGAAATTGGACAAATGCAAGCCTTTTGTTGGTAGACTGAAGTTTTGGCATCGTTGGTCTACAGATGCTTCCCTGACCTTGCGGTGCTGGAGGCAGGCAGGAATTGGGAGGGGTCGCAGTCAAAGTTGCCCGTAGCCCGCAGATACTGGCAACTTAGCTCGACCCGCCTCGGCGCGACCGATTCACTCCCCCCAACACATCATTCCGTGTTTCACTAAGCGCCGTCTACACAACACTGACCTGCTCTGATCCTCCGCGCACAGAGTTAAAATAGAGCAGTCACGCAGCGGAGCCATGGCAAACGACGACACGCCTGGATAGGATGGCCGCGCCCGCCAGACGCTGAGCTACAATCCCGATCCCAACAACGTACCCCAGCCCTTGCTTGCATCCATCGTTCGCCATCGGTGTAGCTACAGTCCCTGGCCAAGACACCATCAACATGGCCACCTCGCAGCAGACAGACCGGCGGCAGCAGCAGTCCGATGCCCTGCCCGTCCGCATCCAAATCATGTCAGACCTCCACCTCGAGACCCCCCGCTTCCTACCCATGTACGACTCCTTCACCATCTCGCCGCACGCGCCGCACCTCGCCCTCCTCGGGGACGTTGGCAACGCGCACGACCCGCGCCTCTACGCCTTTCTCGAGACCCAGCTGCGGCAGTTTGAGATTGTGTTTTACGTGCTTGGCAACCATGAGCCGTACCAGCTTGATTATGATGATCACAGCACGGCGCTGCGAGCGTACGGGGATGATGATGACCCGCTGCCGGAGCAAGAGCAAGAGCAGCAGATGCAGCCGCGGGGTTACGAGGACGCCGTGCGGGCGATGCGCCGCTTCGAGGACGCGGTCGAGGAGAAGAGGCGCGGAGAGGCAGCGCGCCATGGAAATGAACAGCCTTCGACAGGACGATTCGTGTTCATGGACCGCAGGCGGTTCGACATCTCAGACCATGTCACCATCCTGGGCTGCACCCTCTTCTCACACATCACGCCCGAGCAACACCCCACAGCCTCCCTCTTCGTCTCCGACTTTTCCTCCATCCCTTCTTGGACCGTCGACGCGCACAATGCGTGCCACGCGCGCGACGTCGCCTGGCTGAACGACCAAGTCCGCGCTCTGTCTGCCTCCCCGCCGCCGCCGGTGGCCCAAGGAGCGCAGCAAAAGCAACAGCCGCAGCAACAACAGCAACGACGGGAACAGAAACAGCGCCGCCGCATCCTCATCCTCACGCACCACAGCCCCACGAGCGACCCCCGCGCCAACGACCCCGAGCACCTCGACGACCCGCGCGGCGTGCAGAGCGCCTTCGTGACGGACCTGCGCGGCGAGCCGTGCTGGCGGAGCGGGGGCGCCGTCGTCGCGTGGGCGTTTGGCCACACGCACTTTAACTGCGACTTTTTTGCTGTGAACGACGACGACGGCGGCGATGAGGATGGGGCGTCGAACGGGAAGCGCGTCGTGGCGAACCAGAGGGGGTATGGTCGGGAGGACGCATATGACTTTGATGCGGGCAAGGTGATTGAGATATAAAAGCATGTGCTTTCAGTCCGGTGAATGTGCAGCTCTGATCCTTTACAAGGCATGTCTTCGTGAGCGTCGGGAGATGGATCAGATTAGAGTGGTATTCTTGCGACGTATATCCGCATCGTGCGACGTGTACCCGCATCGTTCATCTACTTCGTACACCATTGTCGTCCCTGACGGGAACAGAAAGAAGGTCTACACCGAGGACTAACGCCAGCCGCCAACAACGCCCCGTATTCTATGACCCATACTAAGACAGTCGTCCATGCATTGTAATCATTCCACACATCATCGCGACAACGGATAGCCATCGCGCTCACCGTGCGTCCGGGCAATCGCACACTTGCCAAGTCTACTCAACTCAGCCACGAAGCGGTCCATCCGCCGGAGGTACGCCGTCTCATACGCCGTTTCCTTGTGCAACGGCATGCTCCGTATGACGTCTGATGCCGTGCTTAGCAGTTCCACGTCGTGAACGGCATGTTCACTTTGCGGGTTTCGAAGGATGTTGAAGAAGACAGTCATGAGCGCTGAGACCGGGTAGAAGATGAAGACCCTTGCCGGAACGTTAGCGGATGGCTTGATACCTGTTGCGCTCGCGGAGGCTTACCAGAATGCCTCGCCGGCGAGTCGAGGCGCCATGGCACTCAGGTAGATGAGTGTCGATCTGCTTGCCTCCATAGACAGATCCAAGCTAGACTCGACGCCGTACGTCTTGTCTTTCTCGCGGCCCTGACGGTCAAACACGCAGCGGCCGCTGGCGACATGGATAATGTTTAGTAAGTAGTGGTAGTCAAGGTGCAGCTCTATGTGCAGCATGCTCCTCGACCTGTCAAGATCCTCGAGCTGGACGGCGCGCCGCACCGACAACGCGGGCGAAAAGTCAGCTGGGATAGAGACTCGCCAGCGCTCCAACTCGTCGTCCAATTCGCGTATCGCCCGGAGAAGTTCTGCGTCAGACTTGCGGAGCGCCACGGCAGAATAGATGGCGTCGACGGCTTTGGACTTGATCAGACTGAGGCGAAGATCGTTGGGGAACCACGGGGTCTTGCCGTCGTCCCCATGTCGGTGACGGTCGTAACGATCCTGCACGTAGTCGTCTGGCAGAGATATGTCGCAAAAGTCGTCACGTATTATGGGCGGCTGACCGGTGCGAAGGGCGATGTCCTTGTCAAAGGAGTAACAGAGCCAGAACAGATGTCTCAGATGACGATCCTCCCGCTCCGGGATGGTGAGCGCGCGACCAGTCGATGCGGGCATGGTAGTCGTGTGGCCTCCCAACGAAAACATCGTCCGGCACGCCACGGCGTGATACATGATGGCGGCCTGCAGGTGGCCGTATAGTGTTTCGTGAAGGAGCTGGAGGTACCGGTGAGTGTCTAGCCAAGCAGCGTGTGAGTGACTGCTCACGTACCAACATGAACATTGTCTGGAGCGTTGTGATGCTCGCGTCCTCCAGAAAGTCCGCCAGCAAGATCTGAGCCTCCTTTGCACATGCATCGGGGTCAATGTGAGAGGCGGCCTCCAGGTCGGGGAAGTTGGAGCTGGCCATGGACACAAATGCAAACACGCATGCCTTGGCGCCAACATACTCACACATGAGAGGCTTTTGCCGACTGTAAGCCAGCTTGGCCGTCTCCTCAAACAGCACGCGATCCACCAGCGGAAATACAAGACTAAAGTCGGACGCTATGAATTCGTCCAGCAAAGACTGCACCACCCACCTCGAGGGCAGTTGCGCGTCGTGTCCCTGGTAAGATCGATTCGACAGCGAGTACAGGGTTGAGGCAGCTACAGGGAGCCCTGGAGGAGCAGCTGTCTCGCTCCCGTAGATGTCCCCGAAGCGTGGCCACTGGCCGGTCCGCGAGTGTATCCATTGCTCGCCACTAGCGGTGAAGTGTGGTACGCCATTACGGCAACATATGGCACCAAAGTTCTGCCCTGCAAAGTAGATCTGCCCGAGAGGGGTATGGGTGACGCGCCTCGAAGGGAGCTGGGCGGAAGATTTGGACCGGCATACAGGACAGCCGTGATCTGCGGCGTGACTTGCATCCTGGTTCCCATTTTGCTGGGCCGTTTGGTCAGGAACGTGTGGTGTGGACCCAGAAGAACTGTCAGATGGCGTGCGGCTGCCCTCTTTGAGAGCTTCCGTCCGGGCGATTGCCTCCTCGACGCGTTCGAGGCGCTTGGCGAGACTCTGGCGCGCCGCAGCCTCGGCGCTAGTCACAGTCAGTGACCTTGCCGTACACGGGTGCGCGCCGAGCCGTCCACAGAAACAAGTAAAGTAAAGCGTAGAGGAGGCACACACCTTGGCCGCTTCTTCCGCCCTCTGACACGGTCAAAGGTGCAGGGGAGGTTGTGGTGGAGGCACCAGTCGCACCGAGCCCCTGCCTCGGAAGCATCGCATTGGATCTATATCGCCATCCGTGATGTGTAAGCGCACGTTGGCAAGGACGTTTGCGGTGCTGCGGCGGGCTCAATTGGATGGCGCACGCAGTCCCACGGCGTGGAACCTCATGCTGTTGGTGTGGTGCTGGGTACAGGCTCGGAGACGGCAATGCGCGAGATGCCGCGGGAATTTTTCAACGTACCTTGCGCCTGTAGCACGCGTCGCAGGCACGCTTCTTCTTCTCCATCTCGGTGAATGGTGTTTCACGTCTGAAGAAGCATTGGAAGAAGCGTGAATGCCCCGAGAACGCACAGTCTCTCGAGGACACCAGGTCTCAGACTCAGACCGCGGGCAAGGCAGGGCCTAGGCTGTCACAAGACAACACATGGCCCGGCAGGTCGGCCGGCAAACTCCGTGGGAAGCTTACGACAGCCGAGCAGGGTCGGGATCAGATTGATAAAACTATCCGGTAGACGCGAGCACCGAACGCCGTGGATGGCGAGGCGAGCGGGACGCCAAGGTTCGACCGTTGGATGGATTGCACCGTGCTCGGCACTGCTCGTGTAGGGCAGACAGTGATCCGCGGCGCGCGGCAGAGTTGACTCATCCGCCGTTGACGTCGTGGACCTGCAGGGTACGGTATTGCGGCAGCCAGGTGCAGAGATTCACGACGGCCGAAGATGCCGTTGATTGGGAGTCGGATGAGGCCGAGCCACTGTAAGTTGGGGCGGTTTCGCCGGAATGTCCGCTGAGTAAGCGGGAGTTGGACGCGACAGCCGCTTGGAGCCCCAGGCGTCGACAGTTAGCGCGGGAGGCGTCGCAGGGCTTGCAGGGCTTGCCGGGACCGAGATCTGTTTCGGTCTTTAGGATGGCGTGAAACGCACAATTAGCTTCTGGAATAACCCGAGAATGACGAGGGTCGCCGTGGATCCGAAAGCGAAAGCGACGCAGGGAGAAGGAAGAAAAACATTATCATCGCACCACCGGGGCCGGGTTCACGACGCCAATCTTGCGCAATGCTTCGCGCAGGTCGCGCAGGGCAGGATGGCAGGGCTGGGTATCACCATTTGGGTCTCCACAGGTCCCCGTCAAATGTTTGCGGGGGAAAAGGCCGCTTAGTCAGGCGATGAATTGCACTTTCCAGCGCGTCGCAGGCGCTCCTTCCCATGCGACAGGACATAACACAGCTGTGAGGGCAGGTGCGATGGGATGGGCGGAGGCCGGCCACCTGGACGCCGACATGTCTCGACCAGATCAGATCTGCCGCTAGGCATCTGCATCTTGCATCTCAGCCTCAGCGTGGGCCAGGCAAGACCCCTGGCAACCTGCGCACTCTCTCCTCCCATTGCTTGCGCCGCGAAGCCCGCGAAGGTCGCACGGCATGAATCGAAACACCTGGGCTGGCTGAAGCGCCCGGATCAAGCGAACGGCATCCTTCAGCGGTCTTCACGTCCGTGACAGCGCTCCGTCCCACCAGGCTTATCTCCTCCAGACCGCTTGCGATGCCATCTCCGTCTCTCAGTTCCCATGTCGCATCAAGGGCAACAGCGTTGACTAAGCGGCGAAAACTCGCCCGGCCGGGTCTCCACAGCGGGCGTGGCGCACGCGCGACTGCGGCGAGTATCCGAGTCCGAGTCCCTGGGGCGGATCCCGTGTGGATCTGCACGACGCTCGCGTACTCGCCATCATTATCCCTCCGCGTCCGCCTTTCCCGCGCCGTGGAAAGCCTGCCCGTACAGGAAGGGGGCAGCGACTCATTGCTCACCAAACAACATGCCGGAAAACAATGAATCCCGGCCGACTTGCGCCGTGCCCACCTGCCGCTGCTCGGACCTGACGCCCCGTCCCACCCCGAGGCCCACCGCCATGTGCCTTAAAACGGACACTCGGCGACATTCGCGGGTTGCCGGGTCCCTGACCAGCTTCCCGTATCGTCTTTCTTTCGTTAATTTATAGACTTGCTTGCCCTGGCCGGATAGAATTCCAAGGCCGTTCTCGTTGTGTCTCATTTTGTTCCCTCCAATCTGTTGTGCGGCCTGGATACAACGCCACAATGGAGTCCAACTGCGATGAGACACTCGCAGATACCGACCGCTCCATCAGGAGCGAGCCGGGCTACGGCGGTGCCGACTGGTCTATGAAGCCTCTCGTCGCCGACTTTCACGCACGAGACGTCGCCTCTGGCTTTCCCGCCCGCGAATTGGGCGTCACTTGGCAGAATCTCACCGTCGAGGCCATCAGCGCCGACGCTGCCCTCCACGAAAACGTCCTCTCGCAGTTCAACATTCCCAAGCTCATCAAAGAGTCGAGACAAAAGCCCCCGCTGAAGACGATCCTCGACAACAGCCATGGCTGCGTCAAGCCCGGCGAGATGCTCCTCGTCCTCGGCCGCCCCGGTTCCGGCTGCACCACGCTCCTCAACATGATTGCCAACCACAGAAGAGGCTACGCCAGCGTGTCTGGCGACGTCCACTATGGCTCCATGAAGGCGGAGGAGGCCAACCAATTCCGTGGTCAGATCGTCATGAACACGGAAGAAGAACTTTTCTTCCCGTCCTTGACCGTCGGCCAGACAATGGACTTTGCGACGCGCCTCAAGGTTCCTTTCCGTTTGCCCGACGGCGTCAGCAGCAAGGAAGGCCTCCGAGCCGAGACACGAGACTTCTTGCTCAAGTCCATGGGTATCGAGCACACCTTGGACACCAAAGTGGGCAACGCGTTTGTGCGCGGTGTGTCCGGTGGTGAACGCAAGCGTGTTTCCATCATCGAGTGTCTGGCTTCGCGAGGGAGCGTCTTCTGCTGGGACAACTCGACTCGCGGTCTCGATGCCAGCACGTAAGTTTTCATCTTCTTTCACTACACGCGTACGCCATACTGACACGGATCAGGGCTCTCGAATACACCAGGGCTGTCCGAGCCTTGACCGACGTTCTCGGGCTTGCGAGCATTGTCACGCTCTACCAGGCGGGCAACGGCATCTATAACCTTTTCGACAAGGTCCTCGTGCTGGATGAGGGCAAGGAGATCTATTATGGATCCATGAGGGAGGCGCGACCATTCATGGAGCAGTTGGGTTTCATCTGCGACGATGGTGCCAATGTTGCCGACTTCCTGACTGGTGTCACCGTGCCTACGGAGCGCAAGATTCGTACCGAGTTGCAGCACAAGTTCCCGCGCACCGCCGAAGCCATTCGCACCGAGTATCAGAACTCTCCGATCCGGACCCGCATGCAAGCCGAGTATGACTACCCGTCGAGCGAGGAGGCCAAGCGAAAGACCGAGCTCTTCCGCGAGGGCGTCTCCATGGAAAAAGACAAGAGGTTGCCTGGCAAGAGCCCCTTCACAGTTGGCATCATGGAGCAGATCAAGGCATGCGTTCAGCGCCAGTATCAAATCCTCTGGGGCGACAAGGCCACATTCATCATCAAGCAGGTGTCCACAATCGTGCAGGCGCTGATTGCCGGCTCCTTGTTCTACAACGCCCCCAACACGTCAGGCGGCCTCTTCTCGAAGTCTGGTGCGCTCTTCTTTGCCCTTCTCTTCAACAGTCTGCTTGCCATGGCCGAGGTCACAGACTCCTTCACCGGCCGCCCCGTCCTCATCAAACACAAGACATTCGCCTACTTCCATCCGGCTGCATTCTGCCTGGCGCAGATTGCCGCCGATATACCCGTCATCCTCTTTCAGGTTTCTACCTTTTCTCTCATCTTGTACTTTATGGTCGGTCTGACCATGGACGCCGGCCATTTCTTTACCTTTTGGATCATCGTCATCGCCACCACGTTTTGCATGACGGCACTTTTTAGGGCCATCGGCGCGGCGTTCAGCACGTTTGACGGTGCCTCCAAGGTGTCTGGCTTCATCATTGCCGCTAGCATTCTGTACGCAGGCTACCAGCTGCAGAAGCCGCACATGCACCCTTGGTTTGTCTGGATCTTTTGGATCAACCCACAAGCCTACGCTTTCGATGCCTTGCTCTCCAACGAGTTCCACAACAAGATCATCCCCTGCGTTGGCAATAACCTGATCCCGAGCGGCCCCAACTACACGGACGGCGCGAGCCAAGCCTGCTCCGGCGTTGGAGGTGCCGTCCCTGGACAGAACTTTGTTGACGGAGACGCCTATCTTGCATCCCTTTCGTACAGCCACGCACACCTGTGGCGGAACTTTGGCATCGTTTGGGCTTGGTGGGCGCTGTTTGTCGCCATCACGGTGTACTCTACGTCGAAATGGCGATCTTCGTCAGAGAATGGCCCGAGCCTGCTAATCCCCCGAGAGAACGCGCATATTATCGACGCCCATCGGCAAAACGACGAGGAGGGCCAGGCCAGCGGAAAGGAAGTCAAGAGCAGCTCGCCGTCGGGTGAGAACTCCGGAGACGAGTCGGCGCCCCCCAACCTCATGCGCAACACATCGGTGTTCACCTGGAAGAACCTCTCCTACACGGTCAAGACGCCGTCTGGCGATCGCCTTCTGCTCGACAACGTCCAAGGCTGGGTCAAGCCAGGCAACTTGACAGCCCTCATGGGTTCATCGGGTGCAGGCAAGACGACCCTTCTGGATGTCCTGGCGCAGCGGAAGACGGAAGGGACAATTCGGGGATCCATCATGGTTGATGGCCGGCCACTGCCGGTGTCGTTTCAACGATCAGCTGGTTACTGCGAGCAGCTCGATGTCCACGAAGCATATGCAACAGTCCGCGAGGCGCTCGAGTTCTCGGCTCTTCTGCGACAGAGTCGCGACACGCCGCGCGAGGAGAAGCTCGCCTATGTTGACACGATTATTGACCTGCTGGAGCTTCACGATCTCGCCGACACCCTCATCGGAGAAGTTGGCGCAGGTTTGAGCGTGGAACAGCGGAAGCGAGTCACCATTGGTGTTGAGTTAGTCTCGAAGCCCAGCATCTTGATCTTCCTGGATGAGCCGACCTCTGGTCTGGACGGCCAGTCGGCTTTCCACACCGTTCGATTCTTGCGCAAGCTGGCTGCTGTGGGACAGGCGGTTCTCGTCACGATCCATCAGCCCTCTGCGCAGCTCTTTGCCCAGTTCGACACTCTTCTGCTTCTGGCCAAGGGCGGCAAGACGGTGTACTTTGGCGACATCGGCGACCAAGCCAACACCATCAAGGAGTACTTTGGCCGCTATGGCGCGCCTTGCCCGACGGAGGCCAACCCGGCAGAGCATATGATTGACGTCGTCTCGGGAACGCTCTCGCAGGGCAAAGACTGGAACGAGGTCTGGCTGGCTTCCCCCGAGTACGAGAAGATGACGGCGGAGCTCGACCACATTATCAGCGACGCGGCATCGAAGCCGCCGGGCACCGTTGATGATGGCCACGAGTTTGCCATGCCCATGTGGTACCAGATCAAGCTCGTTACTCACCGGATGAACGTCTCGCTGTACCGCAACGTTGACTATGTCAACAACAAGATGGCGCTGCACATCTTCTCTGCCCTGTTCAACGGCTTCTCGTATTGGAAGATTGGTGAATCCTTCGGCGACCTCCAGCTCAAACTTTTCACGGTCTTCACCTTTATCTTTGTGGCGCCCGGTGTCCTGGCTCAGCTGCAACCGCTGTTCATCCACCGCCGCGACATTTTTGAGACACGCGAGAAAAAGTCCAAGATGTATTCGTGGGTTGCGTTTGTCACAGGCCTCATCGTCTCCGAGATCCCGTACCTCATCATCTGCGGCGTTCTCTACTTTGTCTGCTGGTACTACACGGTCGGATTCCCGACGGCTTCGACTCGCGCGGGCGCGACGTTCTTCGTCATGCTCATGTACGAATTCCTTTACACAGGCATGGGTCAATTCATCGCCGCGTACGCCCCCAATGAGGTCTTTGCGTCACTGGTCAACCCGGTAGTTATCGGCACCCTGGTCTCCTTCTGCGGTGTCTTGGTCCCCTATCAGCAGATCACGGCCTTCTGGCGCTACTGGATGTACTACCTCAACCCGTTCAACTATCTCATGGGAAGCATGCTCGTCTTTAGCGTGTGGGGCACGGATGTCAACTGCGCGGACAGCGAGTTCGCCGTCTTTGACCCCCCGAACGGAACGACCTGCGCCGACTACCTGTCGAGCTATCTCTCGCAGGGCATGGGTGCGACGGGAAACCTCGTCAACCCCGAGGCGAGGGCTGACTGCAGGGTGTGCACGTACACCAAGGGCGAGGACTACCTGCGAACGCTGAACCTGAACGAGTACTACTACGGCTGGCGGGACTCGGGCATCGTGGTGCTCATGGTGTTTAGCTCGTACGCGCTGGTGTACGCGCTGATGAAGCTGAGGACCAAGACGTCCAAGAAGGCTGAGTAGGCGCCTTGCATCGCGCGTGTTTCATATTTTAGACATGGACAAATGGACTGGCGTTGTTGGATAGAATCACATAGACTTTACATAATAGATTGGGCATAATGGTACGATTGTCAATGAACACTGCGTTCGTTCGATTCATATGGGGTGATGAATGCTCGTGTTGGCGACTCGCCAATCACACTGCTGTCGACATACGTTGTACGAAAAAGTCGAGGTAGGTGGTGTCGTCTTGACGCAAATATGTAGAGCACCTAACATAGTCCGGCACGGATACAATCGCGAGCGATGGTCTGAGTTGTTGGACTCTGAAATGTTGGACTAAGTGACTAACTCGGCCGGCTGACTGTCTGCAAGGGACGGGGAATTGTCCTGCTCGGCCTCGGGAGTGTTGGCCTGCCAGATTCCTTGCATATGTAGGACCATATGTCCGTCTGCATGTACAAACGTATGTACGTACGTGCGTCCAAGCGCGGCTTAAAATACCACTCCGCCGTGCCGCCCTGGTACCGTCGCACCGTACTATACAAGTATCCCCGAATACATTTCCATGCCATAAGCCTTGCTTGGCTGGCCGGCGGCGGTGCAGACGCAGGGCCTTCTGGCGTGTTCGCTCATGCGCAATTACAACGTGCAGCCGAGGGAGACGCTTGGCGGGTGGGGGCAGATATGGGAATTGTCCAGTGGCCGGAACATGCCGCTTGGGGGGGTTGGACTTGCAGGCAAAAGTCTTCTCCGATACGGCCTTGGACGGCTTGGCGATCTGGCGGCGTCGTTCCTCGTCGTCGCGAGGTCACACGACCATCAGCGGAGCGGTCTGGTGTCTCGAGCTGATCTTCATCGGCCTCGCTTTGACGCGGCGGCCATCAAAATCGCGTAGCATGTCTATTACTTACCCCATCCTTTTGCGCCCTCCGATCTTCTCCAGACTCCAGACTCCGTACGGACATGCACCCCAGGTGTTTCTTCCCCAATCCCCACGTTGGTGGCCAGTCCCAGGCTGGGGTTGTCCGTGCCTTGACGTCGCTTAAGCGATCAATCAACTGTGCCTCCACGTCGCTTTGGCCTCTTACACCGCACCATCGGCTACGCAGTGTTATGTCAGGTGCAAGCCACATCCAGTAGACTCGGGTCTTGTTTCGCGAGGTGCAGCACCGAAGCCGCCCCGGGGCTACCATCATTGAGAGCCAGGGCAGGCTCGCTGGCTGGCTGGCGGGTAGACTGCTGGGCGACGATCCTCCCCGGACCGCGCTGCCTGTTTCGTCCTGCAGCGAGGTGCCTTGACTCGCCTACTGATAAAGATGGGCTCACTAATAAACCTGCCTGGGTTTCCTGGCAGGCTGGCATCCTTGCTGGCGTGCCGGAGGGGGCGCTGGCACTTCTGCCAGACGTGCAGCGGAGCGCGCTGTGGCGCACCACGCCACTGAACGGGACTGCCCAGGCCAGCACGGGTTGATTGCCAGAAGCTCGTCGTCCACTGCCAACACTCGTCTCTGCCAGATCGGGGGGCGCCATCCGCCAGGGGGGCAAGGCAGGCACTGGGCAAGATGGGGGGGGGGGGGTTGGTTGCTAAGTCCACGAATCAAGGGGCCGGCCAGGGCCCCGGCACGGTTGATGGTCAACTAGCGACGGGTTGGGCTTGGCGTCGGAGACACCGATCCACACATTGCTCCATCCATCCATGCCTTGCCAGCTCATGGTTCTATACGGTCAGAACTGGCACCAGACTCGCTACTGGAGTTCGTGTGAGAAAAGTGGTGAGCGGTTCGACAGCCCGCGAGTCAAACAGGCTGGGAAACACCACGTGCCGATCCCCCCACGACCTCCTGGCGTGTAAGAAAGAACGTCTCCACGCGGCTGTCGCAGTAGTGCCGGCGGTTTGACCGAGCAGTCGCAGAACGGTCCACGGCTCACCGCGGTAGACAACGTCATTCATGCACCGGCTGAGTGGTCGCTGGCGTTCCTACTTGCGCTCGGGTCACAAGCAGGAGAGTTGGGGTCGACATTCGCTGGCGAAACTCGCACTGGGAGCGCTAGCGAGTTGACTCGAGCGTCGAGCTATAGAGCAAACACTGAGGCTGCGCACAAAGCGGCAGCACCTTGCGTCGTCCATGCTCTTCTTTGAACAAAGGCGTGTGGCTCAACATTCCTTGTTCTAAACAAAGCAACTCGGAGCTCAGGGACTCTCACGGCGCATGCTGAATGCAAGGCGAGGAGACATCTTCATGGACAACAATGAAGGAAACGAGCTCAGACTATATATGTTGGCGGAGACCGTCTTGCACCGCAATGCGATCCTCGTCGACAGCTTCAACTTCGAGCCAGAATAGCTCCTTGTCAGTGCTAGAACACACAACAGTCTGGTACAAGTCGTTCTTCATCATGCAACTTGAATCGATCATCCTGTGCGCCCTCGCGGCCGTAGTCGGCGCAGCTCCTCTCGACGACATGGAGCAGGGCCGTCGCGGCTCTGAACCCGCGCCCGCGGCGTGGAGCGACTACGCCATCGTGCCCATGACGTGGGACGTCAAGGTGCGGCCCGACGAGGAGTCGATACAGCTCGAGGGGACGGCCCAGGAGGTCTACCGCCGGCTGGTGGAGCTGAACCCCAACTACGACGTCGACTTTGCGAACGCGACGAGCGCGGACGACGCCGGCGAGGGGGAGCTCCAGCGGCGGACTGACTTTCGCAACTCCAACATCATCTGCTCGGACAGGTCGCCTCCGTACGCGCCGTTTGGGCGCATGGACGCCAGGTCGTACTACGAGGCCAACAACTACCTCGGCCGGCTGAAGGGTTCGCCGACGCTGGATGCGGGGCCGAGGGTGTGCGGCCGGGTGAGCTGCAGCTACGACGGCGCCGTCTACGTGTGCAACGATGTGAGTCCTGTGACACCGGCCTGCCTACTTTCGCCCCGAGGTCTGGGCGTGAGGCAGTAGGACATGTAGACGTGATGGCGATGATGCAGGGCTTTGCTGACCATGGATTGTTCTTGATGCACGCAGACCCCGGCGCCCAAGACGTTGGTGGGGTGGAGCTCGGTGAGGGACGGCCTGGTTGCGATTTACGATAGGTGCCTGATGATTTATCCGTACTGGATGATAGGGGGCCAGGTGTTTCACTCGACGAACTGGAACGTCATTTACCGTAGCGATAGCTGCTGAGCCGCCATTGTGCGCGTGGCCGGGTTGTCCCTCTGGGTCCAATCCGGTGTGGTCTTCATGTTCGGGGGTTCGGGAAGAAAGGGAGAGGCTTGGGTCTGGCTGGTGTCAGGCGGTAGCGGGGGTTGGATGTGCGAGTATTTGATGGTTGTGCCTTGAAGGTTTGCCTTGGCGACGGCACAGAGGACAGAACAGGCGCTACATTTTACACTAGTTACTTTCAAACCATGTCTAATAAGCCAATATTATGTTCCTGCGTGTACGAGGATTGGAGGTCCGCCAGCTTTTGAGCATGTGAAGACGACCCTCTCATTACCCCTACGTACATGCACCTGGGCGCGGCGAGGATCCGTTCCTCCAGTGGAGACACGCAACACGGCGCCAGGCGGCGCGGCGCAGCGCAGAGTAGAAAAGCCAGACGCCTGCCGCGCCGGCTCCTCTCTTGGCCCCCCCTTCGCCTAGCGTGCCCAGCCCAGCACAGGTGTTGCCAGCCAGCCAGGCTGACTGGAGCAAGGAAAAAAAAGGTGGCTGACCTTGGCAGGCGGGCGGCGGCCGAGAGCCGGGAACAACTCTGCAGCAGCAAGAGCCGACAGGGATGCTGGAAGAGGAGAATGGGCACGTGGGCACTTTGACGCGCCCCCGAGACGACAATTGCGGCCTCGAAGTGCCTGCGGTGAGTATGTACGTTGCAGAGGAGTCGATATTGGGGTCTGTGGCCCCCCCTTTGCCGGCGCCATGCGATTGGGTTCATGCGCCCACGCTCGGCGGCAACCAGCACGAGACACAGAGGAGAAGGAAGCGGAGAGGGGCGCGCTTGGGGCTGGATGGATGGATGGATGGATGGATGGAGCGGTTCAGATCGCCCAGGCCCCTGGTGCCGCGCATCCGGGCCGAGAGATTGTGGCGCACTCTGGGCGTCTTGGTGGACGCGACCTTTGTTTGGGACATGCTCTGACAGCGAGCCGCCCGCTGAGCAGGCAGGCACAGGCGGGCGGGCGCACTGCTGAAAGTGGCATCTGCGCGAAGAAAAAAAGAGCAGTCGAGTCAAGGACCAGGTCCTGCGACTTTTTGCGTGGAGACTGGTTACACTCGAAACTCCACCGTCGTCGCTACCTACTCTACAGTATCCTCAAGTCAGTCCCCCGTCTCTCCAGACAGACACGTGCTGCAGGCGCACACGGGAACTGGTTCGTCTTCTGCCTGACATCCACGCAGAAGGAAGGTTAAAGAAAAGTTGCAATTCATGCGACGAAACCGTGGGTGGCTGGCCCTGCGTGCGTGCCTGCGCAGACAAGGATTGCTCTAGCACTGGCGCCGGGACCGCCGTCGCTGTTGGCTCTGCGTGCATGCGGTCTATCGCCTTTTTGCTGCCAGCACGGACCGAACGAGGAAGAGCCGATCAGTTTCTCCCTCCGGCGTTGGCGGCGGCTGTCATGTGCCGGGCGGAATGGAAAGCTGAGAGAGACGCATCCAGCCGTCATTGCTGCCCCCCCAGCCCTTCCAACACCCTCATGCAGACCAACTCGGTCTCCCCCGTTGCCGCAGATTTGCTGCCGGGGTCTGTCTGTCTGCCTGCCTGTCTGTCGCGCGTCTCTCGCGTGCATCCGACATCCCTACGTCACCCTCCCTCTGGGGCCCCCCCCGTCCAAGCTGTGGAAACATCCATCCACTCCAGCCAGGTAAGGCGACGGTGGGTGGACTCTGCCCCAGAGGACAGAGGAGAAGGAGAAACTGGAGCTCGGGTAACGCAGGTTTAAATTCTTTTGCGTTCGGACTGGACTGGGTCCCTCTCCCCTCGTGTCTGGTGCAACAAGTGGTTCCGCGCTGCCCCAGCCCCAGACCAGCACGAGAGCCGAGACACAGAGTGGGAGTCGCAGACTGGAGAAACACGCTGGTTCCGCCCGCCCGCCCGTACTTCGAAAAAAACCGACCTCGTATGCACACTCCGTCCGGCGCGCGACGAAAGGAACAGGGACCACCACCACCACCCGCGAGCGAGGCCCACCAGACGGTCCCGTACGCGGACGCAACCCCGACGCAACGCAACGGCAGGCACGCCGTCAGGCCATCCCGCCTGCCTCCAACGGGCATGGTCGAGCCGCCCCGAAGCTTCTTCAACTTGGTCCGTCCGCTGGCCGGGGCTGGTCCCTGCAGGTTTTCGGGGGGAGGGGAGGGGGCGGCTACGTACGAGGAGGGACAAACAGCGATCCTCTGCCCCGTTGAAGTCGGCGGGAATGTCTCGCCTCGGCGTGGGCGTCTTACTGCTGCTGCTGCTGCTGCTACGACGTGCCCGGTGCGTACCCATCGCCCCCCGGGCCCCATGGAGTGAGTGAGTGGGGTGTGGGCGGCCCCGATGCTGCACGCATGGTCTCCTCCTCCTGCCTGTACATGCACGTTCTTCGGAGTCGGAGTTGGAGTCTACTACCACGCAGTCGTCAAGTCGTCGTCTCGTTTCGGTGCGGATCCTCGCCGCGCGCCGCCCACGCGCACACCCCTCCTCCCACCCCCAAAGTCCCACGACGGTCCCGCAGTATAAGAGTGACGGGCTCCTCCCCACGGGCGACCGTTCGGACGGGTGGCTCGCTTCCCTCCTTCTTTTCCTCTCGCGAGAGTTTCTTGTCGTTTGAGCTTTGCCCGTAGCTGTAGGCCCGCTTTGGTCCAGTCTTGGTTTTCCCAGTGCAGTGCAGTGCAGTGCAGTGCCGACCCCCGAAGAAGGATTAGAGTTGAGGAGCCCGCCCCCCGACTCTAGCCCTGCTGCCGGTGGTCCATTCCTTCCTGCATTGACTCTCCCTCGGACGACAGCTTTTTTAGGAGTGCCGTGTGTGCTGTACGTGCTGCTGCTGCCGCCGCCGTGTTTCTCGTGAGAGCGCCGCCGAACCGCCGCCGACGACGACGACGACAACCGATCCTGTCGCCTCAGACGACAAGCACACGGAATTCCTCCTCCTAAAACCGACCGGACCTCATACTCCCTAGAGCAAATTGCCGCCGCCTACTCCTGCTGCTGTCGCCCGCCATGTTCAACTTTGGGCGCGACAAGGAGGTCGAGGACCGCCGTGAGGGCGAGGCCCAGAATGCCTCGGCCACGGATCTCGAGACGGTGGTCCAGCACAAGACCTTTATGGAGGCCGCCATGCCCGTATTTGCCTGCGGCGCTGGTCTCTTCTCCGACGGCTACATCAACAACGTGGGTGATATCCCCTGTTCAATCCTGGCGCTGCGCATTGCCTGGATGGATTCCAAGTCCCCAGGCGCATCCGCCGTCGCCAGGACCGCAATAGCTTGCGAGGGGGGCGAATCGGACTGACATGAGATGTCTAGGTCATTGGCTCGGTCAACACCGTCCTCAAGCTGCAGTACGGCGACGTGTACAAGAACTCGCAAGCCGCCAAGTACGTCGCCGACATCGCCTTTGCCGGTACCGTCGTCGGCCAGCTCATCTTTGGCTTCACCTCGGACTACTGGTCGCGCAACAACTCGCTGCTGCTGTCGACCATCATCCTCATCGTCTTCACGGCCCTCGCCACGGGCTCCTACTACAAGGGCGAGCCGGTCGGCATGTTCAACATGCTGACGGCGTGGCGCTTCTTTGTCGGCGTGGGCATTGGCGGTATGTCTTTCTCCTCTCGCATGGGCGCGGAAAGCCTGCGAACGGCAGGGCGTAGTTGGACGATAGAGCTGACAGGCTGCAGGTGAATACCCGGCTGGTAGTGTGGGTTGCGCAGAGTCGAGCGGAGAGCTCAAGAAGGGCACCCGTAACCGATGGTTCATCTTGTTCACCAACAGCATGATTGACCTTGGCTTCGTCTTTGGCGCATTTGTTCCTTGTAAGTCTTGCAGTGACGTCCCTTGCTCGTTCCAGAAGAGCGGCCGCTAATTATGCTCTCAGACGTCGTCGCCGCTGCGGCTCACAACGGACACTACAGCACGATCTGGCGCGTCTCCCTCGGCATCGGCGTCGTCTTCCCTCTCGTCCTGTTCGTCCTGCGTCTGCGCCTCAAGGAGCCCGAGGAGTTTGCCAAGGAGTCGATGCGCCGCCAGACGCCATACTGGCTGGTGCTCAAGTTCTATTGGCCTCGCCTGCTCTGCGTCAGCCTCATCTGGTTCCTCTACAACGTGCGTATCATCCACTGTCCGCGTTACTCTGTGAAGTGATTCTGACGGCCTTTACAGTTCAGCTCCTACGCCTTCGGCATCTACTCGTCGTCCATCCTCAGCGGCATCTACGGCGACGACGCGCCGCTCACCACCGTCTTCGGCTGGAACACCGTCATCAACATCTTCTACCTCCCGGGCACCCTGATCGGCGCCTTCGTCTCCGACTGGATCGGTCCCAAGTACACCCTCATCCTCGGCGTCTCCACGCAGGCCGTCGTCGGCTACATCCTCGCGGGCGTGTACAACAAGATCTCGACGCAGATCGCCGCCTTCGCCATCGTGTACGGCATCTTCATGTCCCTCGGCGAGCTTGGCCCCGGCAACAACATTGGCCTCCTGGCGGCCAAGACGTGCGCGACGGGCGTCCGCGGTCGGTACTACGGCATCGCTGCCGCCGTGGGCAAGATTGGCGCCTTTGTCGGCACCTGGGTCTTTCCGTATATCCAGAAGGCGGGCGGCAACGAGACGGAGTCGGCGCAGTATCCGTTCTGGGTCGCGTCGAGTCTAGCGCTGCTGTCGGCGATTATTGCCTTCTTCTTCATTCCCAATATCGGCCAGGATACCATCACCCATGAGGATAAGCGCTTCCGCGATTACCTCGAGAGCCAGGGCTGGGATACGGCCCAGCTGGGTTTCCACAAGGATAACTCCAATGTGGCGGATTTTACTGAGACCGATGTCGTGCCGGAAAAGGCCGTCAAGAACTAGCATTTTGCCCGGTTTTACGTAGGCACAATGTATTTTATGTTTAAGCATCTGACCGTGTCTATGTTTGTGATACTCTTGTACTCGTTTATGCGATCGCGATGTCTCTACATACTATCTGGTGTCGTTCATTCCAGCCCAGCCAGTGGGCGCGCAGTGGTGTTCTTGAGGGTGCCATGCACAAGTGTCTCTCCCACCTCTTCCCGGCAGCCATCGCCACGGCACAACAAAGTATATACGTCTTTGCCACTCACTTGACGTCCTCGCACTTCTTCTTGAGTCTCTCCTCCGTTGTCTTGAATAGCACCGGGATTGCAGTCTGCTCAAGCTCCTTGCCCTCGAGAACCATGTCCGCAAGGCCCTGGGTCATGGTGAAGATGAAGACCATGCCGCCGCCGTTGAAGCCTGCCAGTAGCCACTCGTTGCGCGTCCCGGGCACTTGGCCGACATGCGGGAGCCCGTCGGGTGTCAAGCCCATGACTGTGAGTGCCATTAGTACAACTCAAGCAAGTCCTTCGCCGCCTCTTTCAATGCTACTCACCTCCTGTCCAAATCGAGTCAACCTTGGCTTCACTGTCTTCCCAGCCGTACAGCCGCTGTCGATCAATTCTCTCGAAGTCGGCAGCCACCTCGTCCGATATCAATTTGGAGTCATCGACATTATTGAACCAACGCTCGTTGCGGTCATTCGCGTCCCGCCGGAAGTTGCGCGTGCCCCCTCCGTGGGTGATCGACCCATCGGGGCGAGGATTGAGATAGTCGACCGAGTCGGCCATGTGATGTAGGTTCAACGTGGCAGCGAGGTTGGGGCTTTGGCGGAGCGTCTGCTCGTTCGGCACGAGTCGCGAGTTTTGGCCGAGAAAGGGGACGATGATGTTGCGGTACTGGGGTAGTAGGCCCGCTGTGTAGCCGTTGGTTGCGTATACGACCTTCTTGGCGCGCATGACGCCGCGAGATGTTGACAGCTTGATGGTGTCGGACCCGCGATCGATTGCGTGCACGGCCGTGTTCGTGTACAGTTTTGCGCCCTTGTCGACGACGAGAGCGAGCAGGCTTGTGACGAGCTTATATGGCCACAGTGACACTGCTGGTCCACCAACGGCCGCAATTGCTCCCTTGGCTCCGACAATCTGCAATGTCATCAAGTCAGCGCAGTCGTTTGAGGTTGTAATTGGGGTTGCAGACATACTCTGTCAAGATGTGGCCCTTCCAACCACTGGAGCTCATCGAGCCACTCAACTCCCTCTTTGCGCCTGTCGCGCAACCAGCTCTTCAGCTCCGCAGCCTGGTCCGTATCGTAGAGAACGTCATATGACCGCCTCACCAAGAACTCGCAATCCAGGTCTTCTTCCTCAACGACCTTCTTCAGCGCACGGCATTGTGCAGCCACCCATGCGATTATGACAGCCGCCCCGTCTGGCCCATGTGATTCGTACCATTTCTTCACGGACGCAAGTATTGTCTTGACGTGACCGCCATTGCGACCCGTCGCACCAGAACAGGCATCGCGGGCATCTAAGAGCGTGATTGACGGGGGAGTGGCGGATTTGCACTGTTTCAGGATGTGGTAAGCGGTAGAGACACCAGCCATGCCGGTGCCGATGATGGCAATGTCCGTCTCGTCCGGGACTGCGTCTGAAGATCGGAACTTGGCTAGCGGGTGAGGGTCTGACAGCCAGTACGACGCCGTGGGATTGTCTACGGGTAGCATGTCCATGATGAGCTGAGTTGACCACGGACCGTATTTTGGACTGGTGCAATGTTGATTGACGCTTGGTCACGACGGCAGAACCGCGTTGCCTACGCGTGGAGATCAAGTTCTGGGTTTATATGTCTGTACATGGGTTCTGTACCCAGAGATGTCCACGACGCGTTGGCGTGTCCTGCACGTTCTTTACCGCGTTGAGTCGGAGCCGAACCCAAAAGACGCACGTCAGCTTGGTAGCGCGACGGTGACGATGGTGACGCCAGATGGGTATGCGACCCGAACTAGGTGTAATTGACCGGCAAATGTAGCCCAGATCGAGAACTTGCCGATTAAAGCTGCCTTCCATGCTAACTGAGAGCCCGCAATATGCGCTAGCTAACTTGACCGGCAGATGGGCACGAACCATTCGAACTCCTCTAATGCGAATGAGTGCAGCATGAACCGGACATGGCCGCTCTAGCTAACTCTGCTCGACTCAAAGGACGCGGCTCCGGCAGTAAATCGCGACCCGTCAAGTCCGGCAGCGGCGTATCCCGTGCCGACAGCAACCGGCCCTCACTTCTCTTGACAACCTTGGACGTGTAGACCGTGTTGAGCCAGTGCCCAAGACGGTAGCCACCCTTGGCAATCTGCAGCTCGATCGTGGCAGTCACAGAGTTGTAGTAATCCGGGTACAGGTCGCCGCTCTGTAGGGCTGCAGCGCCGTTTGGCATGACCACGGAGCAGACGTACGAGTTTGCGTCGGTCGCCCAGCGCGTAGCCGTGCCGATGACATCGCTAACATTGTCGCCCTTGATCCAGTCCGGCGCCTGAGCCTTGTAGCTCCCCGACTCGATATCCTGCACCAGCGTGTTCGCCCAGGTCTGCGCATGCGCCAGGTCCTTGCCGCCGATGAGCTTCTGCGGCATGTACGTGTCCCAGTCGGCGTGCAGGTTGTCCTGGTACCCGTCAAACGTGACATTGATCTTGTTGCCGCCGACCTCGTACGCCTCGTCGTGCAGCGGCTGCGTCAGGTCGCCGATGAAGTGCACCAGGAACTTGAGCGCCTCGGTCGTCTGCGCGGTGCTGAGGCGGCCGTCGCCCACGCGCTGCGTGTAGTTGGCGATGGCGGAGATGGAGCACCCGGAGCTGCCGCAGTCGCGGTCGTAGTCGACGTTGCAGGAGCTCGGCGGGTTGTCTTGCGCATCGATGAAGTGGAAGGGCGCAGACCACTTGCCTGCTGCTGTGGCCCGATACTGGTCCGCCCAGGAGGCGATGTTGGCCAGGTACGCGTCCGAGGAATCGCCCAGGAGACCCTGCGCCCTGGATGTTGGTGCAGTCAGCGGGGCGGTTCCGATGAGAACACAAGACTCCAATGGCTGGACTCAGGGCATGCCTTACCATGACGCAGTCTCTGGGGCAAGGTAATGCTGGGCGATGTATGCCACTGTTGCGTGACCCAACACTCCCCAGGCATTCGCCCCATGCAGTGACCCCAAGGCCACCAGTGAGGCTTTAGCAAGACTGGGCATTGTGGGCAAATCGCGGTGGTGTCAAACGAGAGGCACACTAGGATCTCGCGCTTGGATTGGGCCCGCAACTTCAATCGGAGATCGCAGATTGCGCGGCCGATGCAGCTATCGACCAGATCTCAACTCGACCAAGGCTACGTGGCTTATATATGGACCTTGATGTCCCAGCATCGCTGGCCCCTTTTCGGCTTCTCGGCGGCTCTATTATTACTCGAGCTTCATAGCATCAACCGAGGAACGTGTAATACGGACGATAAGCCGTCCGAGCGATCTGCTCGGTCCAAGCTTCGGGGCCGCTGACGGAGCCCGCTATCAGCGGGCTGCGGTGCCCAATTTAGTAGGTCGACGGGATCGGCAATGCAAGGCCCCGGAGACTCGGCAGTGGCCTTCGTGGGTGTTTCAGACACATGACCTATCGCTTTGCGCCTATAGGACAGCGGTGAGCTCCGTGAGTTAGTGCCTGGAAGCCAGTCCAGAACTTTCCAGATCCGTCTTCGGTCTGGGGATTTATGTTTGAGTCGCGGAGGGCTCCGGGGACCCTTGGTGTAGTAGCGATGCGACATCCGCCTCACAGGTGCTGTTCACGAGTTATATACATAGCCTGCGTAACCAATGAGCCGCCAGACCCCTCGCGCAGTTACAGGGGGCTCTCACGTTGCCCACTTGCACAGACGAATGCTGACACGGGGTGGCTATGGGGACGCACCAATAACATTGAATGACTCTTTCACATGCTTAGAGGCTATGTATGTGGTTGCTGTCTGGTCGTGGGGCACAGAACCTCCCAAGCCAGATTTCTTCACTTTTTGCGGCCGTTTCTATTGACCTGAATTTTCGCCAGTCTGTTAGGTAGGTATGCACCTCGAGCGCGTGCTGGGTCATCGTGTTCGGGAGTCACGATCGATCGTTTTCACCAAAACCTGACCAAGTTGTCGTCTCTCCCGCCTCCACTCTTCATCTTGTTGCGTCGCCCTCCCCCACCACAGTCCATTATCAAGCGCCTGCCAATAGTTACATGATGTGCCGCGGTGGCTTGCAGATTCGTGAGCATGAGCGCGTCTGCGCCATCAGGGTCTCTCGAGTCCAGAATCCTCCGGTCGTTGCGGCAACCGCTCTGTTGCAACGGGAGCGTGCCGTGCCCTGGGCGCGCGACTGTGGCCCCTGCTGCCCGTGACGGGTTGCTTCGGCCATGCGACTCTCGCTTGTTTGCTGCAAAATTTTCTCGGGAGAGGTACGTTTGCGTGATAGGTGCATTACAGTGCCATATCAAAGCATCTATGAAAGCGGGGTTCTCGACTGCCATCGTCTCCCTGGCTCGACAATCATGAGACCGGTCTGGATCGATGGCTCAACAGCCGGCTCTGGGCTTTCTTCCAACCAGAGAGGCAGCTATGCGCTAGTCGCTGGCCGTTTCATTCTTGGATCGAACCCCGCCGACGTTCATGTCTTATGCGGCTGATTGAGCCGTTCGTGCAGGTGGCGGAGCTCGCGGGAGCATTGACCTACTGAGTGCAAGGCCAGCTGCAGCACCATGAACCGTGTTTTGCGCAGGATCAAACTCTGGTATTGGAGTGCCTAGTAGTACCAAAACCTCATGCGCAACATCAAAGGGTTTGGGCACATGTAAGATGAGCACTGGTTTTATACACAGTACATGTATGCGGGTGATGGGCGGTCAAACTATCGTCGGCATGGCGACATGCATGCAGCAGTGGCAAATTAATTCGTGTCTAGATTGATAATGCCTGTCATTGGTGTCGCAGTTGGTCGTCCGGTCCGAGCGCGTCAAGCTGCTACGAGCTACGGGAAGCGGGACGCGATGATAATCAGGATCCATCAACACCCACTAACCTCGCCGACAAGACCTGTTGCGAGCTGGCTGTGAGGTCACATTCAGCGGGCGACAGCGTGCGGGGTTCCTTCCAATACTCGGAACAGAGCTTGGATGCTGCTATTGGGTTGAATGCGACTCCCGGTCTCGCGGCATCACCCACGTCCGCCACGACTTCGTTGATATAGCCTTCGCCTGTCGTAGACGGCTTGCGCGTCCAGACCAGATTGCCGAGGATGTTGCGCGTAGCATCTCGGTCTGCAGAAGGAGCAACACAACGTCATGGGCGACCCATCCAGAACGTGAACATTATTCCTGATTGCATGCCATCGGACGGTTGGCATGCGGCATTGGCGGGAATCGCTCGAAGCCTCGGGCCCCCCAAACTACCTACATGTAGACCCGGGCCCCTCGCCTTGACCTAAGGACTTGGAGTACATACTCCTGGCCCCCAAGATGCCCTGCGCGTACGGATATACCAGTGCGGTAATTGCGTCTTCGCAAAGCGTTGACTTCATAGACAGCGCCTCCGACTTCGCCGTTGAGTCGAGCTGTAGCAGTGCATAGTTCCCTTACCTTGGCCACTTCTTCGGGCCAATAGCATGACAATCGTACCCGGCCTCGGATCTTCCCAGCCGTCGGGTGATAAAAATGTACCGTCATCGGAAAGACTCAGACCCGGCGGCAAATGCAATGTGCAAGGGTTGGCTTGCACTTGGTCTCGTTGCCTCGAACGCGGGTGGCGGCCAGACCATCAATGATCCCCGTCCCCCAATTCGACTGCACCTCCCCAGCCGATATTAACACGCCAGACCGTCAAATCATGTACGGGCGGAGCGGGACCCGACCAATGACTTACACGGATCAATATGGATATGACCCGGCAGAGCATGCCGTTGGACAACAGTGCGGCAACGCCAGTGGACATATAAATCTAGCGCGACACCTTTCACTTGCTGACGACACATCCGCCTGGATATAATCCGCGTGCATCTATATACACCATCATCCTGAACACATTATGTGAATGGGGCCATCTGGAGGGGCCTTCACTGCGACCGTTGGGATCACATGGTCGGACTGCGGGGAAAGTACATGCAGCACGCGAGAGAAGAGACAAGAGAAACACTTCCCCTCCGCTGTTGCTTGGAGGCAGCACCGTGCCGATATCTTTGCGGACGTCCCGTTGGCTTCCTTGACCTCTGCTTTTAAACCCGTTCACTTTGCTTCCCAAGCCCATTCCTCCAAGTCTGCCGTTGACCAAAACAGTACCACCCTTGTGCTCAGCACCGTGGCGTGCTTCGGCCCCGCCAAAAGACCCTGACTGTGCCTCGTATCCCAACCACTCATTGACATTTCCAAACGCACAAATCTTGAAACTCGCAGCCAGAGCCGTCGTCGAGACGAACTAAGACAGCCCGAATATCTAGCCATGCCGATCAAATCCGAATCAGTTCAGAGTAAGTGCCGCTGTCAGACATCGGCCGTATCGCCTTCGCTCAAACGGCCCCAGTTCCGCCTAGTAAGCTGCCTGTCCTTGGCCATGAGCGAGGCGGTGCAGGTAAGTATCAACGTGTGCTGGAAATGAACTTAGGGGATCTTCTTCTCCCACTCTTTCAGTGATGTTTCAGGCGCGGATGCTGAATGCTGAGTCGGTTTTATTTTTATTGGCCGTGTTCCGTGTGCCGACCAAAGGCTGACCACGTACAGATGATCCCAATACGTGGTCTTATATGGGAAACCCCATGCGAGCAAAAAGCCTGGTATTATTCGAGGACAACAATGGTCTGCAACGAGCGAAGTTACCGCTGAACCGAGCCGAATCCAGCAGTTGCTATCTGCCACGTTGGCCTTCCCGCCCGGAAGTGTCTTCAACAATCTCCATGTCCAATTCGTCAGACCTGACGGGTTCCTGGATGGCTAGATCGGCTTCTAGAAACATCAACAGCACATCATGTTATTTGCAAGGCAGAGGATCTCATCCAGATACCATGGTTCAGTTGTCGACTAGTGTTGTGCTCGGCAACAGGACCATCTCCCACTACAGGCCAAAAGGACAGAAGCGAGGTCCATTCAAGGACATCAGACTTCGCAAGGAGACTGCCGAAACACGAAGGATTGGTTCTTGCATACGATGTACCATGCAAAGAGTTCGAGTAAGCATTCAGAGGCGACTGTAAATGGTACCAATGGTGTCTGAATCGTGTGTCTGATAATGCAAGCGCAGTGCAGGAGCAACGCGGATGATCCCGAAGGAGAATGCCTAACTTGTAAAAAGCTGGCACATTCATCCCACCGCCGGTTTCCATGCCTGAGATTCAAGCTCACGAGTCTGAGGTTCATACAGCCGATCTACGGACCACAGGAGGACTGGATGCGACGATGGAATCACATGGTCATGACGCCCATACAAACCTGGCGGTCAGATCAAATCGAGACTATCTACGTATCTGAGGGCCTGAGCAACAGGTACATGGCGATTGACGTGAGAGAATTCGTTGACACGTCACACATTCTGTACGACGGACATCCGTACTCCAGGCCCAGAGGCATAACGACAACACTTGCCATGGCGGACCTCAAAGGTGGCGAAGAGATTTACGCCGGATACATACGCGAGGTTACTGGCGCAGCCTTGAAACATTTCACGGGGCCACCAAATGAACTCGTGCATCGCACATATCGATTAGCTTGCGAGATGTACCAGGACCCGACCACACCCGAGGAGTCGATGGAGCTTCTCAAGTTGACGTTCAAGTTATGGACTGCAGCCCGCCTGTCGACACTTCCGACCTTCATTGTGGGCCATAGTGCGCTGGACATGGGGTATTGTACCGTGCCTCAGTCGCAGGTGCTTGCGAAAAGAGCTGCCGTACCCCCATTCCTAGGTGCGCAGCTGAAGCTCACACTGCTGCACCACATTCAGGAGACCATCGCCCCTAATCTGGTAGCCAAGCTCCAAAGCATGACGTCTCGGAACAGTAAACATACGTGGCTGGCCTTGTACCTGACGACGTTCATGCTGCTGCACAACACGACGCTGCTCATGGCCCATGCTCTGGCCGAATGCCGATCCATTGGCGGCAGGGTAAGATTGCTTTCTCATCAAATCGCTACTTCCAACATTTCTCCAACGAGCGGATAACATCATTGCTAATACTGCTCTGCCGCAAGGGCTTTGTTCCCATGGTTAGGGAACACTTCCACGGTATGACATGCGCCACCATGATGCGTGCTCGATGCTAAACGGCCATGTAGAGGCAAACATACTCCTCGCTCACTTCCATTACTGCAATAGAGGACTCTCTCCCTTGTCCGGTGACGCGAAAGACTGCTTACTTCGAGTTGAGATGGGGCTAGACGAAGCCAAGGTCCAGTTTATCCGGTACACGAGACAATTTGCAAAGGCGCGCGGTCAGTGAGCTTTCTCAGAGGCTTTCCCCGGCTAGTGGCATTCCATTTCACGCAAAATGTTGGGCGCTAACGCCTCCGAATAGAGAGTCGGTGGAAGAAATTGGAAAGTGAAGAGAAGTATGAGGACGACTACTTCTTCATACGGCAGCTATTTGAGGATGCGTGGCGGCCTCGGTCGGTGCGGGCAGAGAGAACATGACGTTCGCAACGAGCCTAGCATGTTGCACGTGGCGCGGCGGCTGCCTTCAGCCATGTTTCATAAGGAAGTGAAGTCGAGGCATCCATGGCGACGCAGTCGATGAAGGGTCATGTTTACGCATGAGATATAAAATGAATCAACGAAGCTGTGCATCTCGTAGTAGGTTGGTGATCAGAAGAAGTAGATTACCTACATCAGAAGTTCAGAAACTCCACCAACAACAGTGGGCGGCGGATGGGGTTCGGGGACGGGTGTTTTCCGATGGCCCTTGTGACCGTCGAATGTGGTGCACGGTCCACGCGCGGGGTGTCGCCACTGGCGGTCACTTGGAATGCCTGAAGCGTTGGCGGCTCCGTTCCGACCAGCGGGCGCCTGCTAGGTCGTATGATGATCCCCGAATGCGCGACCACGCTTCTGTATCTGGCGCGAGTTGCGACCCCGACTATGATCTGATGGAAGCATGCCGCCTGCCTCAAGGGTAAATCTTGTTCACGCCGAGGCCTTCTTGACATCTTGGAGGGTTAAAGCTAAGGCTACATCGGTCGCGATTTCGCCCACGGAATGAGCGCCTGAGTCTTCGACTGCCGAAGTCTTGCTGATGACGCTCATTCCGGCCACTTACACGAAGCACCAATTATCTGACGGATGACGGCGAGGACGCAACCACAAACTGACGACGCACGTCATGTAAGTTGGGCTGCACCCAACACGTATTGAACGGCTGGTTCAGCTGGCGCAGAGCAATGCGACGTCGCTTGGTCACGTCCGGGGACTCTAGTGAACGAGCGACGCCGGTTAGTGGATTTTTGCCGCTGTAAACCAGGAACCTCGGCAGTGGCTAAGAGGAACGGGTGCAACGCGCCGCCAGGCACGAAAGAATGCGCCCGTCCCCGTTCCGCCGGCCATCGACGATGTGCTAGGCGCCCGAGCGGCGGGTCTGATCCGGCGCCGTCCCAACACATGAAAATGGTCGTGTCGCGGACGGTCGCGACAGATATAAATCGCTCCGAGGAACGTAGCGTTGGACTTGCCCTCTTGCTGTCACTTGACCCGATCGCAAAACCCCCATCCGACTGCCAACCATCCATCCTTTGCGCAGCTTTCAAGGTCGCAACCATGGCGAACGCTCCCGACTTCGACGTCGTCATCATCGGCGCAGGCATTTCGGGAATCAACTCCGCGTACCGCATACAGACCGCGTTTCCCAACTACAGGTACTGCATCCTCGAGGCCAGAGACAACATCGGCGGCACCTGGGACCTGTTCAAGTATCCCGGCATCCGCTCCGACTCGGATCTCTTCACTTTTGGCTTCCAGTGGTACCCGTGGCACAAGAACAACCCGATCGCGACGGGTGATTCCATCGTCCAGTACTTGGGTGAGGCCTCGTCCAAGCATGGCATCGACAAGAACATTCGCTTCCAGCACCGCCTCAAGCATGCCTCGTGGTCTTCAGCGCACCAGGAATGGGCCCTGTCGGTAGAGGCGCGCGGCGAGCCGACATCGATTTCCGCCCGGTTCATCATCTTCGGCACCGGTTACTACGACTACAGCACTCCGCTGCAGGCGCACATTCCCGGCATCGACAATTTCGGCGGCAAGGTCATCCACCCTCAGTTTTGGCCGGAGGACCTCGACTACGCCGACAAGAAGGTCGTCGTCATTGGCTCTGGCGCCACAGCCGTCACTCTCGTCCCGAAGCTGGCCGAGAAGGCGAAGATGGTGACGATGCTCCAGCGGAGTCCCACCTACATCGCCGTGCTTCCCAACGCCAGCTCAAAGTCTTTGATCGACTACATCATGCCGCGAGCCGTCGCCCTGCGCATGAAGCGACTTCAATGGATCCTCCTCGCGCGCATCACCTTCACATTCTGTGTTACGTTCCCCCGGCTTGCCAGATGGGTGCTCGGCCTCCGCACGAAGCGCTTGTTGCCTAAGGATATGGCGTTTGACCCTCACTTCAATCCGACGTACAACCCGTGGACGCAGCGACTTTGCCTCTGCCCAGACGGAGACTTTTACAAAGCTCTACATGGGGGGCACGCCGACATCGCCACCGGGGTGATAAAAACAGTGACATCGACCGGCATCAACCTTGAGTCTGGAGACATCCTGGACGCCGACATCATCGTCACCGCTACGGGCCTGAAGCTGCAACTAGCCGGAGGTGCGACTATACACGTCGACGGAAAGGCTGTCGCCCCCTCGGACAAGTTCATTTGGCGAGGACAGATGATTCAAGACGTCCCGAACGCCACCTTTGTCATCGGATACACGAATGCGTCGTGGACCCTGGGCGCCGAAGCGACTGCGTCCATGGTGGTCAGGCTCCTCGGAAAGATGAACGAGGGAGGATACTCCAGCGTTGTCCCGAGGGTGGAGAACCCCGAAGACCTGAAGGAAACGGCGCTTCTGAACTTGAACTCGACGTACGTGAAGAACGCGGGCAGCATCATGCCCAAGGCGGCGACGACGGGGCCGTTCGCGCCGAGAGGGAGCTACCTGGAAGACAATTTCCGCGCGAAGCATGGTGCGATTAAAGGACTAGAGTGGGTTCGGGAGCCTCTCACCAAGTGAGACGGGGATGTTTAAGTCTACGCTGCTGTCACGAGTATACCATTGTAAAGCGTCTGTCTTGTTCCGTCTATTTTCCTATACAGCATGGTGGAAATAGACCTTTGATGTCCTAATCGCCTCACAAATTATTGAGTTTTGCTACGGCCACACTTGGCCTACTGCGCGCTTCGCTACGATGGTGAGCTGCGACCAAGATTTCTGGGGTTCTGGCGCGGAACGGAGGCTCGGGTCAATCCCGAACGCCCTTCGGAGCAGAATTGGGGGAAACGGAGCCGGAGGGAAGTGGGGCCTCCGCTCGTCGGCTGGAAGCCGAGCCGCTCGCCTCAGTGACCGTCCAACCTGGACATTGCAAACGCGACGGCTTGTTCCGGCATTCAATTGACACGAGCCCACGAATGCCGTTCCAAAGATCGCCGGCGCATGTGGCGTGATCCGTCACCTCCAGGCACCGGGCGGACGTTGCCTAAACCCCGAGCTGCCGCGTCAGACGTCTACAGCAACACGTGCCGAGTTGCCGGATCAATGTTGACAGACACAAATTTTGGGCCCCGATGTCTGCCCTGCATCAGGAAACAGAGTTTCTGCGCTATAGAACAGGGGTCGTGTGTCAAAGCCAGCCCTGGACGTACGACCCTCACCCTCATTACACTCCTTGGCACGATCACTGACACAAAGCACTCCGAGCCAAGTTGTGTGAGAAGCCTATATGCTGAGACGAGTAGCTTTTAAGGTGCCTGGCGCTAGACTAGACCTCGAAGACATCTGGCCACTCTCCCTTGATCTTGCTGATCGTGTCCTTCAGACCGCCCTTGGCGACCTTAGGCTTGCTCAAGCCGAACCCACCATACGACCACTCCTTCTCAAAAGCTCTGATCTTATCGTGCAAAGCACCCTCATCCAGAGAACCAGTCTTCGTCGCGTTTTTCAAGCAATCAACAAAGATCGCCCATCTCGTCTTGTAATAGTCTCGAGTGACCCCACTCCAGGCCCGCGCCGAGTAGTCATTGAGACCGGACGACTCCCAGAGCCAGACCGTCACCTGGCTACGGGCGTTGAACGACAGGAGCTTATCGTTGCCGCTTTTCTTTGCCCAGTATTGGGCGTCGTCGAGCCACTTTTCGAGGGTAAAGTGCTCGTTGGTGGCGAGCACAGCGTCAATAGCTTCGATGAAGAGGAGCAGCTTTTGGCCCTTGGCGGCTACGGCGCGAGATGGATCGGAAGGCCTGTTAGAGCGCGACCTCGGAGCACCCTGCATTGTGCTGTTGTAAGTTTTGACGAGGTCCTGGTAGACGTCGATGAAGGCGTTGCTCATGACCTGTCTTGTGACGTCGACTAGGTCGAGCTGGAAGGCAGGCATTTCCCAAAGAGACAACTTTTGTGCTGATGCCTTGAGCATCAAGGTGAGTGCCTGTCTTAGCACCCTTGGGTCGTACTGGAGGGCGGTCGGGGCAGGGAAGTGTCCAGTGCGATTGACGAGGCCAGTCAGGCTCGGTGCAAGCTGGTATATACCCGCGCCGGCACTGGGGATCAAAGGATCCTTGGAGTCGTATACATGCCGTCGCATAATTTCCCAAGCCTGGTACAAGCTGCAAGGAATGGATGAGACACCGCCATATCGTGATGACACCCAGTCATGGAAGTATGCCTTCGTGTCAATAGCCTTCGGGGACCACGCCTGGTCCAGAAGCAAATCGTACACAACCTCGTTGCCCTCAAAGGCCTCCGGCGTCAGACCAAATCCGACAAGTGAGTCCGAAGCGCCCAATGCCTCAATCGGAGTAACGGTGATGTTCGTAATTTGGCCGAACAAGTTCATGTTTCCACCAAAGTCATGCAGTTCGCACCAAATCCACGGCTTGCCGGAGTAGCTCTTTGTCCTTTGCCACTGGGGATTGTTCTCCGAGTAGAGGTCTAGGATGATCATGCTGTTGTCGTCCTTGACGCCGCCGAGGTATGCGTCGATGCGCTCCTGGGTCCAGAAAGATGCTGCATTGTAAAACAGCCAGCCCTGCATGAGCCAGATCGCCGCAGGATTGGCTGCAGTCAGTCCCTTGTATGTCTGTTCAGCAGCACTTTTCAGGTACTCCGTGTCTCCAGACGCGGGCATCATCTCGTTAAACTGATCAAGGGTATAGATGTTCGTGACATTGCCGAATGCTTCGATTTGTTTTGTCACGAATAAGTGCTGCAGCTCAGCATACGTGTCGTCGAGTGGACTCAAGAAGAGGTCCTCGCTCCACTGTCCCACACCAGACCAGTTTGGCGCCTTCGTGACATTGGCGTTTGGGCGGACACGCTTGATGGCATCAGGCACGAATCCTGGGAACGCCGGCAGAACGGGTACCATGCCGAGTTCGACCATTCTGGCGACAATCTTCTTTTGCATGTCGAACTGCGACTCGATCCAGGCGAGGGGGAGGTCGCCGACGCCGCCCCAGGAGCCTTTGGTGTTGCCGAACCGGTTCCAAGCCTGGAAGGCAGGCCCACTGAAGAAGGGAAGGATTTCGTCGTCCTTCATACCGAGGTCGCGGAAACTATCGAGAAATATCTTTTCGTAACCGACCCAGGCAAGTTGCAGGTTGACGCCTCGCCATGCGGCCCAATCGAGTAGCTTCTCCCAGTCTTCCCATTTGTACCAGGCAAAGGTGTAGGAGAATGTGACTTTTTCTGCGAGTTAGCATCCGGGGCTCCTTTCGCCGCAATGGGTCAAGGACGAACCCGTGTTAAAGTTGTATCGCCACGGCACAATGCTGGCCCCAGTTAGGGTGGCCTTTGGCTGCGGGAGCGGTGCAGAGAGTTTCCTATTGCTGTCGACAAACCAGAACTCATCCAAGTGAAGGGTTTCGGTAGCATAATGCCGCAGTCTGTTCCCCAATGGAGCATGTGGTCAGCAGTGGCATCGCTGGGATGTCGACCAAGCAGAACCTCTTACCCTCTCGCCAAGGCGCTCAAGGTCGTACCCTGGACGTGGATCTTGCCGTCATGGCCAGCCGACACGGTGTAGTTGTCATTGGAAGGGTGGTTCCAGCGCGACCAGTTGTCGTGCTGCTCCGTCAATTCGAATTCGAATGCGTCGCCTTGCCCACTCAACAAGCGATCGGCCAGCCCTTTGATGCCATCGAGGGGCTGCTCCTTGGCCGCCACAGGGCGCAAGATGGACGTTGCCAAAAGCACTGCACTGAGGAACCGAATCATGGTGAACAAAGTCGCATCTTCTGCTGCCTCAATCACAGTTTATGATGACGGGACTGGCGACGATCAGTCACATATATCTGCCAGCGCGCATGCGTTCTCTCCGCGACAATGTCCGTCCGGCCCGCTTCCGGTGGCCGGCGACCGGCTCCAAGCAGCGATCATGCTACGTTACGGACGAGCGTTCGCGCGGGCGCTCGCAGACAAGAGCCGTCGGTGCCTGCTCAAATGAGCTAGGTGTTGATTGCCGCGCAAATCATTGTCTTTGGGGAGGAGAGTCCAGGGTCGGCCTCGTGTCTCATTCGCCGATGAAGTGATCGGCATGAACCCCAACCGTAACATTCGGGGTCGCATGCCGGGCGGAGCACCCTGTGCCTGCCAGGAAACCTGCCTAAGCTTCGCTATCAAGCTAGCAGAGCCAGACTTGCCAGAGCAGTTGAGCGACGCTTCGGCTGCTGCCAACGAACCCCGCATCCTGCAAGTGTGCGACAATGCCGTCAGCATCGGCAGCGGAACATCGAGCCGTGCCCTGCGAAACTGGTATGAGGTTACACCCGTCGGTCCGAAGCCGCGCTAGAATGTTGACGAGCTAAACGTCTGGCCAGATTAATATGCTTTGGATAGTCGCAATGAGGGCAGCACTGGACGCTTGGCATTTGAGATGACAAGGGAGCCCAGCCAATGTTGGACTCTCGGTCCGCTATCACAATACGCAAAAAACGATAGTGCCTGCCTGAAAATCCACCGAATGGCTCCATGACTGACTCGGCCATATGTTCCTCGAGCGGTGTCTTATCTTCAATTTCATGGTGTACATCTTGGTCCCAGTCCAGCTCCGCCATCATGACTCGCCTTCCCCTCCCGGAATACGAGTCCAACGCCGTTCGTCGCAACGTTGTGGTAAGTCCATCACTTCCCTTCCAGCGCCGTACCTATCCAAAGGATCCTTGCCCCAGAAGCCTTGGGCAATCTCGGGACGCCAGCGCCAGTGTCTAGCAAATCGCCCCTCCAGCCGACCCTCGAGGCAATCAGAGATGAAGCCTCCAATGGAGGGGATATGCGCAAATCCGTGACCAGAATCGCCGGCGGCAATCACGAGAGACGGATGAGACGGGTGGTAGGTGATGAGGAAGCCTCTGTCGTGAGTGTCGGCGCACCAGCAGATGCGCGCATGGACCAGTGGTCGATCTGCCAGGTGCGGCATGATTTCCGACAGGAACTGCTTGATCCTCTGCTCCGACTCGATCGGTACTTGATGCTTTGCGAATGGAACTGACTCGGGCAGCTTTGAGTCCGGCAATGTCACCCAGTTGCAGTACCCGGGATGCTCGTCGCAGATCTTGAGCTCGTGCCTGTCCTCGTCGGGTTCCATGAAGAATCCCTTCTCAACGTTGAACAGTACTGGCAGATTCTTGTAGAGTTGCGCTTCTTCCTCAGTCATCTTAATGTGCCCTAATGTCCAGGCGGTTGGGCGCAGCTGGTTCTCAAAGTCGACAAACTGAGGCGCGGAAGCACCGACGGCCAATATCGTTCGGTCGGCCCTGTGTTCGTAGCCATCAGCGGTCTTCGCTCCACGAACATCTCCGCCTTCTTGAACAAGACCAATAACCTCGCCTTGCGGCGAGCCGGTGATGAATCTGGCGCCCAGTCGCTCCGCTTCCTTGTAGGCCGAGACGAGCGCCTTCCGAGCGTGAACCCATCCGGCGCCCTTAGACTTGTGCCAGCCTTGCCAGTTTGGAAAGTCGCCTGTCAGAACGCCATTTGGCATGCAAGCTCGAAAATCGTCTGCCGAGTTGAGCTTTGTGTATTCCTTCTCGTGGCCCCGAAGCTCGGAGTCAACGATGTGCTTCAGTGCCTCCGGGCTGGATCCTGACACGATGAATCCGGTGTCGTGATAGTATGGGGCGAAAACAGGGTCGTGAAGCCAACCCTGGGCGGCTGCCGCCGCCGCAGCTTGCGCGACGGACTCGGCATCATCACCATCTGTGGGAGACGCTGTCACCCCCTGGTCAGCCACAGTAGGTTCTCCGCAGTGATGAATTGAAGACACTTACCTAACTCAGCAATCTTATTCACATCATTTCCAGCAGATATGCTTGATGGAATAGGATGAGCGTCCAGCACAGTAACGTTGGAGTAGCCGCGGCGCACGAGGTGCAGTGCTGTTGAGCACGCCCACGTGCCGCCACCAACAATGACTATGCTGGAGTCTTTGCTGACCTTGGCAGCCATCTCGCCGCCTTCTTCCTCGAACCAGTGTGGTATAGGTGTCTGCAGTATGGCTGCGCCTTGCCTCAATTGAGGCTTCGTGGTTGACAGGCACGTCACCAACAGAGAAAGTACAATTGAAGCGACGCAAGGCTACTCGCAAACAACACCAGGCTGGACGGAAGCGAACGACGTATGAGATAATTATATGAAGAAAGATCAAGACCAAGGACGAGGCGAATTGGCAGGACAAGGCCGGTGTTCTCACCAATTTGTTGTGGGGTCCGTAATCGGCACCGGACAGACACGTCCGGGCTGGCGAAGGAAGGTCCAAGCCGACATTTTCACATTGACGCTAGAGTGCGGAGCAATAGCGCGGGGATCATCGTCAACACTACCCCGCCATCCACCCACCCTTGGCCCCCTTCCCCAGACTGCGGGGAAGATGACTGTGACTTGTGTGAGTACTCTGGAGGCGGCACGGGTGTGACTGACGATCGGCTTGGACCTGCCTCCCTCCAGGCACTTTCCTTGATTGGGCGCCATGCCGGAGGCCCGAGGACCTGCGGCGTTTCGTGGCGTTCAGTGTCGTGAAGGTTGTCGGCCAACTTCAAAGCTGGACGTCTTGACATACGTATTTAAACACTTGAGCACTACCCTGCATCAAATATGAGTGCCACGTCCTCAAGTCAGACTTGGCCACGCACCGCACCAACGGCCTTTCTATCATGGCTCTAAATATCGACTATGAGGCTGTTCCGGGGACGGAGCAGCTCATTGATGGTAAGCTGGGATACCTCTCAGAAAGCCGCCCAGGACAACTGGAATTCGCCTACAATGCTGATCAAACCGCATAGCAAACAACAAAGCGGAGGCGTTTGCCCACGTCGATGAATCCGATATCGTACTTATCCCTCAGCCGACTGCCTGTGGGGGCGATCCACTGGTAGGCAGTCCGTGACAGTCTCTAGGCTGTCGACTTGTCACTCACAGAACAGAATTGGCCACGATGGAAGAAGTACTATCAATTGTTTCTCGTGGCGCTATATGCCTGTGCCTTCTCCTTTGGCGAGAATACTCTGGGAGGTAAGCACATGAAGACAAAATAAACTTATGTGTCCGGGCACTGAGTTGTTATAGCGGCATGGACAACGGTCAGCAAAGACACCGGCGTTACCTTGACCAACATGAATGGTGGCAGCGCACTGAATTACCTCCTACTCGTAAGTACAACTGTTTCCGCTGCTGCCTTATCCTGAGCTAGTGGAGACTGACCGCGGTGACCGGTAAGGGCTTTGTCAATATTTGGTGGATGCCGACTGCCAACATCCTCGGGCGTAGACTTGTTTATCTTGCAACTACAGCTCTCTGTCTCGCAACAGGCTTTTGGCTCGCTGCGGTCCACGGGACAGCCCAATGGATGCTGAACATGATTGTCAACGGCGTTGGAACCTCGGCGTATCAGGCCATCGTGCAACTTGCTGTAAGTCCCGTTGACTTATGGGCAATTAAGCACAGCTGACGGCCTCTGGGCAGATATTCGACATGTTCTTTGTGCACGAACGAGGAAGAATGCTCTCAGTGTATCTGTTTGCTCAACAGCTGGGTTCCATGTGAGTTCTGTGCCCCTATCTTTCCCCTGCCGACTTTTGATCAAGACTGACTCGAACCAGCATCGGACTCATCACAGGCGGAAGCATGTCCGACACTGTGGGCTGGCGCTGGAGTCAGCGAATAGTCGGATTGGGGTTCACCTTTGTGCTCCTCATCTTCTTCTTCTCCTTCGAGGAGACCCTGTTCCCGCGGTTCTTGTTCTCCCAAAGCTCCTTCTCGCCCGTTCCCATCAATGAACTGGCGGACGGCGAGGTACCACATCCGGAGCGTCAAGTCAGCAAAAGTGAAGTGGAGACGAGTGAACATCGAGCAAGGTCCAGGGTCGGCACCGAACAATTTCCCAGGCGATCGTATCTTCAGATCCTCAAGCCGTGGGTAAGGTATCCGCAAAACAAAACCACATTTTGGCAGTACTTCCGTCGACCATTCTTTCTGTGGGGATTTCCCAATGTTGTTATCGTGAGTTCATTCCAGTGAGTCCTATTGGCTTTTTTGACTGAAACGTCATGCTTCTAGGCTGGATTCATATACGCGTTCGGAGCAACAGCGGGCATTGTCTCGTTCAACACCATCTCCGAGATCCTCACGGAAGCGCCGTACAATTTTAGCACGACCTCAACCGGCCTGGTCTTCTTCGCCGCGTTAGTCGGCAACATCATTGGGTATGCCATAGGTGTCACGAGCGACCACGTTGTGATTGCTCTGTCACGACGGAATGGCGGCGTCAAAGAGCCGGAAATGCGGCTGTATATGCTCGCCCCATGCTTCCTTCTAGCTGCTACTGGATACATGATGTACGGATGGGGTGCCCAGACGGAAGCGCACTGGGTAACTATCGCGATCGGCATCGGGGCCATGATCTCGCACCAGGTTGGCGCCTGCACAATCGCCACCGCATACGCAATGGATTGCTTCCCAGGGGTGAGCTACCGCTGGTTCCACCTACGCCTTCAAGGTCTGTTCAGCGACTAACTTGGCGACTAGATTTCCGGTGAACTGGTTGTGGTTCTAGCCATGTGCTCCTCAGCCGTCAACTTTGCAATCTCGTACTCCGTTCAGCCCTTCATTGAAGCAGCGGGCTACGGGTGGACATTTTTCTTCTTCGGCTTGTGTGTGTTGGCCTCAGTGTTAATGGCCATTCCGCTGGTGATCTACGGGAAACGATGGCGCATCGCCAAAGCACCTCGCTACTACCGCTTCTTGGAGGAGGTTGGCGGCTACACCGACTAGAGCAATTGGTCATGAAAGTGGCTTGCTCTTTCATGTCGTGTGGCGAACGAACTTTTGGGCTTACAGCAATGTTTGTCTTGTGCGAGGGCCGCCATGCATGGGAAACGAGACGTTCCACCAAAGCATGTGTCCGTCCTAGATAGCAAATTGGGCGCAGTACCTCCGTGGGTGTCACTGGCCTGAATGTGCACGGCGGGATGAACGGGAAGACTTTGCCGAACAGATGCCGTCGTGATTGAGACAACAAAGCAATCGTAGTCGCGCCAGAACAAGGAATTGTGCAACAACAGGTTCAAGTCTGCAGCCATGTTTTACTCAATGAGCCGCTATAGGCTTGCTCACACGGGAAGTCCGTCGCGCATGTCCCACCCACAGATCTGCGCCACGCGGGTCGCCAAGATGCAGCGGCAGCCGGCAGACGGTGGCTTCAAGATCGCGACGAAGGACGCGGGCGCACCGGACCACGTCATGGCGAATGGTTTGAGACGCCGTGTCGCCATGTCGGTCGGTGAACAACAAACCTGTGAGACCATCGGGCCGCATCGTCAGTCGGTCCTTCCCGCTTACGGCGCCCCAACAGCACCGCTTGGATGCATCTGGGGGCCACCAGGGCACTTGGGTATACTGTGTTGCTCTTGCTCTCCAAGGTCCGGATCCCGCAGCGCCAGGACCTCTGGGGGCATAAAAAGGATTCTCAAACGATTTTGCATCACCATCGCGATCTCACTCGTGAAGAACCCACGTTCCTTCTCGCTTTGCCAATATTCGAACGAACAGTATCTATCAGCACGACTTCGCACGTCCTCGAGATGCCTACCATCCTGCAGATTGTGGCCGTCGGCTCGTACGCCATTTCCACAGGCACTCTCGCCCTGACCCCCCCTCCCGGAGCCCACATCCAGACTTGCTACGAGGGCGAAACGTCGGCCTTGCATTGCTACAATGGCGAAGGCGACACCCCTCAAGATGTGAGCGTCGAAGACGTTGCCTACGTCGGCGCCAAACTCCGCGAGTGGGGTCGCGGTGCCGATGGAGGCCGATTCCTGACGATGCCGGCCGAGAACACTCCAGACTGCGCTGAATGGAGCATCTTCACCTATCAAAGCGTTCTTGCCCTAGCTAAGCACATCGACCCGAATGTACACACGTCCGTCCTTTACGAAGACATCGCCAGGACCGTCGATGGTGGCGAGTCGGCGTCGGACGAAGATAAAGCGAAGGCCATTATCGGTTGCGAGAAAAGTGGTGGATCTCTGGGTGTTCTCGTCAATGAAACTGACCCGGCGTACCACACTGAGGACTACAAGAGGGCAGGATACACCCCGCAGGGCATCATCATCAAGATTGTGTCCAACGTCCCCAAGGAAGAGCTTTGAGGTCGCCGAATCATCGACGGTAGAAGCGGCGAGGTCTGAACTCTGAGTACAGCAGTGGGAAGGCAAGCTACCCTATGGCGATCGCTTGGCAATTTAGAGCAGAGCGTTACTAGAGAACAACGGCAGTGTTGAGACACCAATTATAATTGAAAGACCTTTCCCTACCGCGGTGGTGACTCTAGTCTGGAATGCGCCAAGACATCCGCGTTACGTCGGAGGGCTTTCAGCAGCACTGACAACAAGGCTTGACTTGTGCCGCCCTGTGAACGTGTGACCAGTCGGAACCTCTGAATTACACAGTCGTAGCAACGATGACCTGGGGGTTGGGTCGTTTTCCATCCACCAAAGTTTTCGTCCAAATCACATCACTGAAGCCTGCGGCCTGCATGCTCTTCATCCAAAACGCTTCTTCTGCAATGCAATGACTTCGCCCATCGTCGAACAGCCACCAGCCATCCAGCAAGCCAAACACCAAGTCAAGCCAGTACAGCCGCGTAGAGAACTCAACCACTGAGAAAAACCCCCCCGGCCGAAGCAGTTGGCGGGCATTCGTGCACGATAACTGCAGATTTTTTGTCGCATGTATGCAGTTGGTGGACAGAACAGCGTGGAATCGACCACGGAACTTGTCCGGGATTGGCTTCTCAACATCCAGTACTTCGTACTCGATGATGCTGCCGCCCAAGTTCAGCTGGGCATATCGCTTCTTGGCCGTCTTGAAGAACGAAGACGAGATATCGGTGAAGGTGTATTTGAAGCGAATTCCCGACCTAATGAGCATGTCGAGCACGAACTTGGTCGTTCCACCGAAGCCGGCGCCAATCTCTAGGATCTCAATGGGTTCTCGGCTGCTGATGAACACACGTTCGAACACATCCGAGAGCTGCTTCGAGGCTGCTATTGACATTGGAGCGTTGGTGTAAAACTCGAACAGCATATCACGGCCCAGGCTTGAGCCAAACAGAAGTTTGATTGGGTCCATGGAGCCAGTAAGGCATCCCGCCAGCTTCGAGCCCGTGATATTGAGCAATCGATGAGTGTCAGAGTGCTGGGGAAAGTCGTGAAGTATCTTCTGGTATAGCGCCGAGGATGAGGTCAAGTCTACGGCAGCTGATGTGCGAAGAAGCTTTGTGCCAATTCGCTCGACAAGGCCCCCGTCGACGAGTATGTCGAGAAGCGTTTGCATCAGCTTCGCCTGTCTAGTCAGAACGTGGCCGGGAATGGGAAATGGAGTGCCAGGGATCATCTGGCCAAGAGGTTGAGCCAGCCGGCTGAATGCTTCGAAGACGTATGCCAGGACTAGCCGCCTCTGTGACGGGTACACATTGGTCCAGAAGTCTGCCACTCCAGCTTCTTTCGCGTATCTTCCTGCCAGAGCAGTGGTACATGAATACGCCGCATGAACTGGGGATGACCTCGGCGCTGCCATAGAATTTGCTAAAGAACGGCCTGTCAATAGATAGCGGCAGGAATCAGCGGGGGCAGATCAGGGCTTACTGATGATTCCATTACTTGCAGTCCTTTTCCCGATGTCCGATAAGCACCGGCAGTCTCTGAACAGGGATGCCGGAAAGTCGATTCCGGTTCTGTTGTTCACGATCTCTAGCACTTCCATAGCTGCCATCGGATCGAGACCGAGATCCTCAAACGTCACATCGGACGAGATGGCACCCGGCTCGAGGCCCAGCTCAGTCGCTATGGCAGTCCTGAAGTCTTCCACGGGGGCAGACATTGTGCTCGGAATTGGTTGTCAAGTTCATGCAGGAGACTGGTGATGGCAACTTCGATCTGCCACACCAGAGCATTCATATATATAGCACGCTTCATGCAGCCCTTCGTTGGTTCACCAGTGCGGTACACAATGAATTTTGCCTGGAGCCAATTGTGTTGGAACAACGCATGTCGACGGAATCAACCCATGTGTGCCTGCTCGTGTTCACACAAGATGCCGTTCTGGGCCCGGGGGGGCTGGCTTGCTTTCAAGGCCTGAACACACCAAATGCCCGGTTTTGAGAACCATTATCGCCACAGCTTGACCTTAGACCCTGTTTGAAGCTATACTGTGGCTTACTTTGCCCTGCTGGCAACTTGACAATCACACCCCACCATCCATGATTGCGGCCCCGGCTGGCGGCTGGTTGTTGTCTGAGCGGGTAGCACAGCAGGCGAGCTCTATATCGGTATTAGCAGGGCAAGGCAACATTGAACTCAGCTCCGGCTACCCTGTGCGATACAGGGGCGCATTGACATGTTTCGGGATCAATATTATGCACATCTATGCTCTAGCAGAGATAACTGAGGCTGTACAGGCAATACCGCTCGGATATACGGCAAAACAGAGATTTCCCTGGGAGAAACAGGGCTGTACCCCCAAGCGACACTGAGCAGAGCTCCAATGCAAGTGCTTCCCAGAACTATCGGAGACACCGCTGGGTCAAGTGCATGTGATGGCCAGGGGTCAATCACACGCGATGGCAAAGGCACAGATGGCGCACGATAAGCTCTATTCTGCACTATAATTGTACTGGCTCAGTAACTATGATGGAACCCGGCGTATCTTGCGGGATACCAGCCTAGTTCACCTCTTACAGCCCCCGCCGCCGATTTGGTAGCTGTACTCCGGCGGCACGTCCGGCCAGACATCGACACCATCTAGAATTGCAACAGACATGCCGCCCATGAGATGCAGCTCAATGTGGCAGTGAAACATCCACGGGCCAGGATTGTCCGACAGATAGCGGAACACACTCCAATATCCGCCTTCGGGGACAGGAGAGAACTGGGTCAGCCAACTGTCTCTGTAGCCCGGGTTGTCGAAGTTAAAGTCCTCGGGCCGTTTTGCCACGGCTTCCGCAACGCTGCTGTAGTTCCAAATGCCGTGGCCAAAGCCCACACGCCACGTCTTGCTTCCGTGTTTATGCATGAAGTGCTCAAACGCGGCAAGATCACCTGGAAGAGTGGATACTTGCAAGATCAGGTCGACCCAGGAGCCATTCTTTGTGCGAATGACGAGGTTTTCGTCGGGCGTACCTATGGTGGCATTTGGGTAGAAAAGAAGTGGGCGGTCTGCCTGGAAGTTGATAGGGTACATGTAGGTCGCATTCATTGTGTAGCTTGTCGAATTATAGAGGCGTCCCATGATGAGAAGATATTCCTCGTCTGCGGGGCCGGGTCGCGGGTGTATGCTCGGGGGCCACGGAGCCATATGATCGCCCTCGAACTCGTAGGGCGTGAAGCTGTTGTTCTTGATCTCAAGAGATGGGAACAAGCCACCATATGTCACGTATTGCGTCGCCTCCGTCCTCTGTTTGTGCTCCGCACCCTTGTATACAAGGTCGGCAAACGCGGAGATGACCTGCGTGGCTCCGGAATCTGGCACGCGCATCTTGTACACGCCGGGAGGCTTGTCCAGACGCATCATGACCGAGTACGTCTCGCCTGCCGACATGGTCGCGGTGACGAACTTGCGCGGGGTGACAAAATTGCCGTCCACTTCGTATATCCAGAAGTCATGACCATCGACCGCGAAAACAAACTGCGCGACGGTTGCGGCCGAGATCAGGTTCAGGCTCACCCAGCGCTTGGCCGGGTCGACCACAAATGTAGCATTTCGCCCAGTAGACGGAACGCAGCCATCAACCATGTGAGGAGGAATGAGATCGGGTTGTGCCGTGTAGTTCCAGGGTCCGCCTTGGATCGGTGTTCGGAAAGGGAAGCATCTGAAGCGTTCATGTTCTGTTAGCTATCATGCGCGTTTGTCGGGACACTCCAACGTTGCTCACCCTTTATCGGAGACGTGTGTATCGGGAAATGCGATTCTTGCAATGTCAGGCTGCGTCTGATTGATGAGCAGCTCTATAGGCGGACAGTAAAGTTCGCCGAAGCCATTGATCAGAATGCTGTCTAGGCAGCTTTGTGGGAGTTAATTGCCAAAATGTAGTAATTTGCAGCCCCTCCGGCAGAATGACTTACAAGATCTGCAGCCCCGATTCTTCATTAGCTTTCCAATACTCCTCGGACGTGTATCTGGACCAATCCGAGACGACGATCAGCTCCGGGTTAGCTGCAGCTTTGGCCATGGCCTTGATGTCTTTCGGATCATCGCTGATCTGAGCCCAGAGCCCGGTCGGATCTTTCTTTGGCCTGGCCGCCAGGTCAGCAGACAGAGCTTCTTGCGCCATTCGTGACTGGGTTTGACAGACTTTATCCATATGGCGCCGTACAATCCATCGGTGAGGGACATGCGCTCATGCGAATGGTACCAATGCGTTCCCACAGGTGTCGCCTTGAAGCGATACACGAACACTTCGCCTGGCAGTATCGGCTTTTGCGACAGTCCTGGCACTCCGTCGGACCAGGGAGTGCCAGGTTGGCTGCAAAGGCACAAATGTCAGTTTTAACTGCACCATCACAGCAAGCGCCAGTCCTTACGCTAGTCCGTGCCAATGGATCGTGACATTGCGTGGCATGTCATTGACGACAGTTATCTGGTTTGCAGGTTAGCGCATTCCATGACGCGCTATGCGATTGAACTGACTTCTGCATAGTCATCCTCAGTGAGTATCAGCGGAGGCGCAGGGAATTGGCCATTGGTGAAGATCATCTTCCGGGATTGGCCGTTCGGTGCGCCATCTTCCCACGAGAGTCGCAAGGTCTCTCGAACTGTCGCCGCCCAGACCGAGGCAACGAGTGCCAGTAAGACAGAGCTGAGGCGCATCCTGAACGCTTGACTGCTGTGAAGAGAAACTACAAGCTGCGCATTGGAGATGCCCGTGCTTCAGCGGTAGTAATCGTTTTGATATATCGACTCTATCATCTTCAACTGTAATTTCTCGAAAGCTTGTCTCAGCCCGCACCGGCCCTTAGCAGCACCGATGCCGGCGGCAGGCCGCAGCCGCCAGCGCCTTGGGCCTCAAGCCACCTTTGAGGAACGCGTCTGGCATTGGCCAGTATCCAACGGCTGAAGATCTTTGTGTCGCTCGCGTGAACCGGATATTGATGCTGGCGGGCCGCACGTTGCCTGCCACGCCCACGCACGCCGATTGTATCCCTGGTATAGCTCCACACGAGCATCGCATTCGATGCTTGCATCCATGGCCATAGGTGCCTCACAGACGTCGGGCTCTTGGGCTGCACGGGGTTGACTGCGTCAAAAGTCGCAGATATTGATGCTGACAGAAACTCCAATGGCATCCTGTGATGCCAAGACCGGACACCTATCGGTCGGACCGCTTCGTCGTTACATTCGCCTGACTTGTGCAACGATGTTGCTTGCCTCAGCTCTCAAGCTGGCCGCCTCCGCCACCTCGTGGGCCAACTTCTAGACTGTCGATGAAATGATGAGAGTTGACAGACAAGGCTGATAGACAGGGTTGACGGCTGCCGGCACCAAAGATTCGGGCATGGGACCGTTCGGGTGCGTTGCATTGTGACCAGGGACGGGAAAGGCAGCGCTAGCTCCCGTCCGTCCGAATGTCCCGACTCGGTATCAGCCCGATTGGGCGCTTTGTTGTTCGGGATGGCTCGTGCCCGAGGAGAGCAGCTTCGGGCCCGAACGCCCTCGACGTGGTAACACAGGGCAAGCCGCCATTCGACCCGGTCGCGTCTCGATGGTCTGATCTCGTCAACCGGCAGCGAAATCATTCAAGTGGCGCTTTGCGCCGAATTTGAGGAGAAAAGTGGCATCATGCGTTGGGGCGAGGCTACAGTACGCAAGAAGGGGGCCGAAGACACGAGACTTACATGTAGCCGGAATAGGCAATAGCTTCTTGGAAGTTTCGGCACGTTTCCCCCTAGTCGTTTCACGTGTTAAGCGTACATACTACGGAAATAGTGACTCGTTCTATTCTGGAGATGGTGAGCGACAGGATAGTCGGGTGGAAGATCCCGTGGTTGTTCGGTAGATGGCATGGACTGAGACCCAACAGATGGGCTCGTGCTTAGCAACTGTTGTGCATACTCGCACGGAATGGCGGGGCATCACAGTGCCTGTGTTGGCCACCGGGTTTTTTGGTGTCGATGACATTAAGGACCAGGTGATCGGGCTGAAGCCCGGTCTGTAGGGGACCTTTGGTATAAGATCAAACCAACAGGTCGGTGCGACAGTGCTTCTGCAGGCCAGCCCCGAGCCTTCAGCATCGTTGAACATCTTCATTGTTTTTCCCGCAAGCTTGGCTTCGAACCTTGATACTCTCACCCTAGCCTCGCAAGCGCAGACTTTCGCTGAAACCTAGGACCGGGGTTGTCAACACGTATCCGCAGAGATGGTCCAGACGGACACCAAGCTGGAGGAGACCCATAGCCCGTCCAGCCACGACGGCGAAGCGGGCATTGAGAAGAGCGGCGATATCAGCAAGGAGAAGGCGAGCCCGCCCGCCGAGGATGAGACCCAGTATCCCGGTGTGCTTGCTGCCAACCTGTTGATGGTGGCCATTTGCGTTGCCATCTTCCTGGTCTCTCTCGTAAGTCGACCCCTTCGCGGCTGAACAAACGTGCATACTGACCCTCCACTCCAGGACCGAACCGTGGTCGCGACAGCCGTCCCGCGCATCACCGACGAGTTCCACTCCTTCGGCGACATAGGCTGGTATGCCGGTGCTTACGCCCTCTCCGGCTGCGCCATGCAGCTGCCAATCGGCCGATTCTACAGCTTCTATTCGCCCAAGATGGTCTACTCGGTCCTTCTGTTCATCTTCATTATTGGGTCCGCCATCGGAGCCGGGGCCCCAAACTCGGCCGCCATCATTGTCGGGCGCGCGATCCAGGGCGTCGGCTGTGCCGGCGTCTTCTCCGGCTCCATCATCCTGCTCATGGGCAGTCTCCCGCTCCAAAAACGCCCGATGTATGTGGGGGCCGCCATGGCAACCATGAGCATTTCGTCCATCATTGGTCCCTTGATCGGCGGTGCGTTGACGGACGGCCCCGGATGGCGCTGGTGCTTCATCATCAATATACCCCTGGGAATGGCAACCATCGCTGTCGTGTACCTGACAGTCAAGCACATCCCAGGCAAGGAGGAGACATCAAAAACAAGCGTGGAGAAGCTGAAGCACCTTGACCCTCTCGGCGCTGCCGTGCTCATCCCCAGCGTCATCTGCCTTGTCCTGGCGCTGCAGTGGGGAGGCGCAGAGTATGCCTGGAACAGCTGGCGCATCATTCTCCTGCTTGTCTTTGCATGCGTCCTGGGTGCTGCCTTTGTCATTGTGCAAGCCAAGATGCCCGAAACGGCAACGGTCGCCCCCAAGGTCATCCGTCAGCGCTCGGTCCTGTCGTGCCTCCTGTACTCGACGTGCAGCGGCGGCGCCATGATGGTTGTGGTGTACTGGATCCCCATCTGGTTTCAGGCCATCAAAGGTGCCACACCTGTCAAGTCGGGGGAGATGACCATTCCGCTGCTGCTTTCCCAATCCCTGTCCTCCATCATGGCTGGCTTCCTGGTATCTAATGTGGTTGGATATGCGCCCCCATTCATGATCGCCGCGTCGGTCATCATGTCCGTGGGCACCGGTCTTCTCACAACCCTGAAGATTACCTCGGGTCATCCGGAGTGGATTGGATACCAGGTACTTTTTGGTTTCGGCCTGGGCTTCGGTATGCAGCAGTCGTCCAACGCAGTGCAGGCGATCCTCAGCAAGGAGGACTTCAACTCAGCAATCTCTCTGTTCTTTTTTGGCATGCAGCTCGGCGGCTCCGTCTGTGTGTGTATCGGACAGAATGTGCTGAACCAGAGGCTGATAGGCTCCCTCAAGGACGCGGCCATAGAAGGACTGGACCCGTACTCCGTACTTCATACAGGAGCCACTCAGCTTGGAAAACTCGTGCATAACGAAGCAGACCTTGAGAAGCTACAGTTTGCGTACAACTGTAACGGGCTGGGCCCGTGTGGGTCTCGGCTCCGCTCTCGACCGGGGATCCACATCGGCTCCGGAGCTCCCTTTAAAAGCTCGTGTTCTGTTCTCGAACTTTCTTCTTTTTCTTCTTCCTTTCTTTTCTCCTCAGCTTTAGGATACTCGTTGCAGTCGCTCAGCT